GGAGGTCTGTGGTCAGGAATGCGGTGAGGCCTGTGCGTGGCTCTGCATTGTCCGTTGCTTAGATACCTGGACTTGATTGGCAGGCGCTGGTCTGACTAGGGGAGGGAGCTAGCAGGGTGATGCTGCCTCATCAAAGGTAAAGAGAGAAATGCGGATGACGAAGGGGACAGACCGAGAGCACATGCTGTGCCGTCCGCGGGTCGGGTCTCAGCGAGGCAGGGAGCAGTGTGGATGTCTGATGGGAGCGCTGTTGGAGCGCTCTCGCCCGAGGTTCTGGGAAGGTGGGTGTGGCGGGGCTGGGAGATGGACTCGTGACCGCCAGGTCTTAGGCAGGGGCTGGGGGGGTGTGGGGAGAGGCAGGACACCGGTGGGCTTGGCCTGACGTCTGAATGGACAGCAGTGCTGTTTGCCAGGTAAAGAACACGAGAAAGCCTTCACTTTGGACCGATGGGGAAGGCCGTGAGTTTGATGGTGGACATGGGTTTGAGGCCTCCGAGACGCAGGAGGGACAGTGGGCAGCTGGAGGTGCTCGTCTGGGGCTCACGGGAGAGGTCGAGGCCGAAGGTGTGAGTGTGAGTCACGGTTGAGGCTGTGTGAATGAGATCTTCCAGGGTGAGAAGACGGCGAGAAGCAGGGGGCCTCCGAACACAGGCAGTGTTACCAGGAGGGGGCAGTGCCCTGGCCGGTGTGGCTCAGTGGATAGAGCGTCGGCCTGTGGACTGAAGGGTCCTGGGTTCGATTCCTGGACAGGGCACATGACCAGGTTGTGGGCTCGATCCCCAGTGGGGGGCATGCAGGAGGCAGCCGATCGATGATTCTGTCTCATCATTGATGTTTCTCTCCCTCTCCCTCTCCCTTCCTCTCTGAAATCAATACAAACATATTAAAGAACAAAAATTAAAAAAAATAAAGGAGGGCAGGGGCTCACCGCTGCTTCTCGCCGCCTCTCTGAGCCAGGACTGCTTCAGGGCAGCCGCCTCCTGGGACTGCCTATGTCTCTGGTGATTCATTCATTCACTTACTCATTTGAGATTCATTCATTCACTCGCTCACTCATTGGAGAACTATCACAGGCCAGTTCTGTGCCAAGTACCTTCAGTGCCAGGGCTGCAACTCTGAGCCTCACTGGTGCCCACAGCCCGGGGTCCCTGAGCTTTGCCTGCTCTTCCTGCAGCTGCGCATGGAGTACCTCTCCCTGATGCACGCGGTGGTCCGCTCCACGCCCTACCTGCAGCACCGCCACCGGCTGCCTGACCTGCAGGCCACCCTGCGGCGCATCCTGAGCGAGGAGGACGCCTCGCCCCAGTGCCAGGTGGACCGCATGATTGTCCGGGAGATGTGCAAGGAGTTCCCGGCGCTGGGCGAGGCCCCCAGCTAGTGCCTTCCTCTCTGCCTTCCCTGCAGCCCTGGCCAGCGATCAGGGGACGTGGGGGTTGGCCCAGGCAGGTATTGCACAGATGGACGACGGTGTTAGGGGGTGCGGTGGTCGGAGGGTCCTGAGCAGGGCTCGCCCCCTGACGTAGGGCTGATGCGAGGGGCCAAGGGCAGGACTGGGGACCACGCTCTGGGAACAATGCTGGGGCCAGGGGAGTGTGTGTGAGCCGAAGCCCCTCCACGTCCCGGCTGCCTGTTCAGCATGTCCCCCTCCCCCTCTCCGCACACACACACACACACTCGCACACGCACTCGCACACTCACAGTCCGCTGCTGCTTCAGGCTGGGCCAGGGCCCCACCCCAGCCTGTCTGGTCTGTGTCCTGGGCTTCAGCAAGCCGTGTCCTTGGGGTGAGGGGAGACTTCCGCTAGCTCAGCTCTGTTTCTTGCCTTAGCTTTGCATTAAGTGCCGCTCATGTGCTCCCCCTGCCCTGCCCCCCAGGGGTCAGTGCCCTCCCTCACCCCCTCCAGGGGCCTGGGCCAAGATGCTGCTTTGAAAGCAGAACTAGGAGGCCAGTGACCCACCCTTGAACCTCACAGAACGGGGCGATGGCGCCGAGAACGCCAGTGACTGATTGTATTTTCTCTGTAAAAACGTAGACTGAAAAGCCATGTGTATCTCCTGTGTGCTGCGCTCACCTTTGGAAATAAATTGCCTCTGGAAACCGGCTTCCCTGTGTGATCCTGGGGTGGAGGAGGATGGCGGCGGGGCCCTGGGGCTTGCCCTGCCCTCCCAGCCCACAGAGGTGAAGGCCCCAACAGCCTTTCCCCCTGGGGTTCCTGCTCTGAGCCACATCCGGCCCGGGGTCCTTGCAGGTGCTGCCCCTCAGGCTTCGCTTAAAATCTTTCTTTGCCTCGAACGCCATCGCTGTCTTCCCTGCTGAAACCCTGCTCCAGCCCTGGGCCCTGCGGGCTGTTTCTTACTCACTGGTCACGAGGCCGGCAAGAGCCCTCGTTCCCCAGCTTCGGCAGAGATGAGGGATTTACACGGTGGGACGAGTATCTGAGCAAATGCGGGGTTAGGTTTGCGCTTTCCCGTGGGCTCCCACGTGTGGAGGAGGTTCCGGGAACCCAGTGCCAGGCTGCAACCAGTCGGTGGTTTTCATCAACTCATTTTTTTTTTACCCAAGATGATTTAAAAAAAATTTATTTCCCAGAGGAAGGGAGAGGGAGAGAGAAACATCAATGATGAGAATCATTGATTGGCTGCCTCCTGCACACCCCCCAGGGGGAACAAGCCCACAGCCCAGGCCTGTGTCCTTGACCAGAACTGAACTTGGGACTCGACAGTCCGCAGGCCGATGCTCTGTCCACAGAGCCACACCATCCAGGGCTGCCCAAGATGGTTCCACACATTCAGAATCATCCCTGATATTGTGACTTCCGGTCACGAGCTTTATTTTCTCATCGGGATGCGGAAGGCAGAGGGCCTCTCCCACCAAGGCTAATGCAGCAGCGCAGCGGCGAGGGACGGGGCCCTGGGAGGCGAGAGCGCTGGACCGGGAACCCCTGGGAGCAAAGCAGGGGAGGCTGATGGGCGTCCTTCCCTTCACCTCCCGCTCCCAGCAGGTTGGGCAGAGCCTCACCTGGACGACGGAGGAGGGGCTGACGCCGTGTTTGGCCCAGGTAAAGGCTCAGCCTGGTCCCTCCTCGCCCTGGAGGCACGTGCCCCCTTTGTCACCCGGAATCAATGCACTGGCTTCCAGCCCGCCCCTTTCTCCTGGGAGCTGGAGGCAGAGAACCGATTCTCTTCCCGAAACACGCGGCCGGGCTGTGCCCCCTGGACCAGTGCTGGCGCTTAGGGACGCTGGCCCGGGGCCGGAGGACCAGAGGCCGCCGCCAGCTGCCCAAGGGGACTCCGCTCTGTTTGAAAGGGACGCAGACGCTCCACCCTCATGCCCTTAGGGACCCAGACCTGCATCCGGCGAAGCTCCGGCCGCAGGGGGTCCCCGTGCAGAGACTGGGGCCAAGCACCGCTGGAGCTCACCCGCCTCCGGGCCCAGCCAGGCCGGGCGCTCGGGAGGTGGAACCCCGGGAATCCCGGGAACCCCGCCTCCCGGAAGCGAAGGAGTCGAGAGGCCAACGAGCGCGCCGTCTGATTGGCTGGTGGTGATGTCATAGTTACCGTTTGGGAGGGCAAGAGGCCTTAGGCAGGGGTTCTCCGCTGGGTCCAAGCAGGAGCCGCACCCCTGGGTGTCCTGGGCCCCAGAGCGACCCCGCCGCGGTCCTGGGGCGCCCACGCCCTTTGACCGGGCGCTGCAGGCCGTGGTCGCTGCTGCCCTTGCAGGCCACTTGGTGGAGCGGCTCCCGAGTGTCTTCCCGGCTCCGCTGGGCCCTCGGAGCGCCCTGGGCCCGGACAGTGCGTCCCGTCGCGGGCAGAGCCTCAGGTGGTGCCCAAGAGACGGTGACTTTCTGATCGGGGCGCTCGGCGTCCACCCCGCCCCGCTGTCCTGGGACGTCCATTCCGCTGCGCCTGCCCATTGGCCGGACGGTACCCGCTGGCGCCCGGAGGGGCCCGGCGGAGGAGAGCTGGGTTGTACGCGGGAGAGGATTGAGCTTCCGTTAGTCCCGTCAGCGGTTAAAGCGGTCTCAGCGGAGGAGCAGCCGGGATCCGAGGAGCCGGGCCCGCAGTCGCGGGGCCACGCCGGGCTCCACGGGGCATCCCGGAGCACTGGGGTCCGTGCCCTGGAGAGAGGGGTGCAGCCTCCGGTGGGGGATCCCCCAGTGCCGGAGACTGCGGGGGTCTGTCAAGGCCGGGAAGGGGTGGCCTCTGCTCCCGCCCCGGGCAGGGCAGGTCACCTCCCGTTCCTGCTCCACACAAGGAGGTGGACAGTCGCGACGTTTCATGATTTAAAACTCGCTGATGGAAGAGTTAAAGCTATTGTTCGGGCTGCTCCCCCCCATCGCCCCCCCACCCCCCGCCCCATGGTCCTGAGGACGCTCACTGAGCCCCACATTCTCACCGAAATCCGGAACGAGCTTCGGAACTGGGGCTCAGGAAGGGGGACCAGAGGCCCGTCGGCGGAAGAAGGGAGGGGATAAAGTTACATTTGAAAAAAAGAAGAAGAAAGGGTGGGAGACGGAGCTGGGACCTCGCCCTGACAGGAGGGAGGCGGGCGAGGGCGGAGCCCACGTGCGAGGAGGCTGCCTCCGCGGCGGCCGCTCCCCGCGCCCGTTCAGCACCGCGGGCAGCGCCTCTGCGTTGCCCTCAGTAAAGATGGCGGCGTCGGCGTCGGCGATCGGAGCTGCCATGCGCCGCGGCCTGTACCACCGGGTTCGAGGTTTCGGGCGGAGGCGGAACGAACCATCGCGGCGGCCGGGAGCCATGTTGGAGCGGCGGGAGGCGGCGGCGGCGCCCGGGATGCTGCGGTGGGGGCGGCCGAGCCCGGGGCCGCACTCCACAGGGGCTCCGGCCGCGGAGTAGATGGTGGCCGGAGCGGGGCGGCGAGGGCGCGGAGCGACAGGCCGAGCGGCGCGGGGCCGGGGCGGCGGCGGGGGCCCGGGAGGGGGCCCGAGCGGCGGGGCGGGCCCCAGGCCCGGACCAGGGCGGGGGACGGTGGAGGCCGAGTGGGGAGGCGGGGGGCGATGGAGAGGCGGCCGCCGCGGTGGGGCCTCAGGGGGCCGACGGCCGCGCTGCTCCCGCTCCTGCTCCTCTCTTTGTTCCCTCTCAGCCGGGAGGAGCTGGGGGGCGCCGGGGGCCGCGGCTGGGGCGCGGAGATGGCTGCTGCCCCGGAGCCCGGGGCGCGGGTCGGTGGCGGGGCCTTAGCTCTTTGTCCCGAGCCTCCCGGGACCCGGGAGGACGGGGAGCCCGGCCTGGGAGTTGGGGAGCCTGTCTTCGTGGGGCTCCGAGGGGGGAAGCCAAGCGCCCAGAGTGGCCGAGGGTCCCCCGGGCAACCGGATGCGGGGCTGGGGGCGGAATACGGGGGCCAGGCACTCGGGAGCCGCGGGCGAGGGGCCGGCCAGGGCCCGGGGTCTCCGTTATGCTGGCGCCCGGAGGTTCCCGCCTGCGGACGGACAGGACCGTCACGAAGAGACAGCTTGTCGCCAGAGGCTCCGTCCCCAGCGAACAGCTTGCCCTTCCCGTCGGACCTTCTGGTTCGGCCCCAGAGGCATGCTGGGAGAAGCGCCCCCCAAAAAGTGGGAACTACGCGATGCTGCGGGGAATTGTGGGTGCCGGGGCGCAGGGGCCAAAGCGAGAGAATCCTGGGCCCCCGAGCCGAGAGGACGATCTCCGGGACGGACTGTCCTCCCGGGGCCGCGGGGCCTGTCCCGGGCCCGGCTTCAGCACCGCGCACGGCCAGGACAGCTCCCGCGCCGGGTTCAGCACCGCGCGGTGACCGGACAGCTCCCGGGTCGGCGCCCGAGCGCATGCGCCCCCGCGGCCTCGTCCGCCGCCGCTTCCCCCCGCTGCGCCCGGGGGTCCCGGCCCCGCCCGGCCCCTGGAGGACACCCCTGACGAGCCGGGCCCGCCCCCGTCGCGCCGCCAACCGCCACCCGCAGTTCCCGCAGTACAACTACCAGGCGCTCGTGCCCGAGAACCAGGCGGCGGGCACCGCGGTGCTGCGCGTGGCGGCGCAGGACCCGGACGCGGGCGAGGCGGGGCGCCTGGTGTACTCGCTGGCTGCGCTCATGAACAGCCGCTCGCTGGAGCTGTTCAGCATCGACCCGCAGAGCGGCCTCATCCGCACGGAGGCCGCGCTGGACCGCGAGAGCATGGAGCGCCACTACCTGCGCGTGACGGCGCAGGACCACGGCTCGCCGCGCCTCTCGGCCACCACCATGGTGGCGGTGACGGTGGCCGACCGCAACGATCACGCGCCGGTGTTTGAGCAGTCGCAGTACCGGGAGACGCTGCGCGAGAACGTGGAGGAGGGCTACCCCATCCTGCAGTTGCGAGCCACCGACGGCGACGCGCCCCCGAACGCCAACCTGCGTTACCGCTTCGTGGAGCCGCTCGCTCCGCGCGCCGCCGCAGCCGCCGCTGCCTTTGAAATCGACCCGCGCTCGGGCCTCATTAGCACCAGCGGCCGCGTGGACCGGGAGCACATGGAGAGCTACGAGCTGGTCGTGGAGGCCAGCGACCAGGGCCAGGAGCCCGGGCCGCGCTCGGCCACCGTGCGTGTGCACATCACCGTCTTGGATGAAAACGACAACGCGCCGCAGTTCAGCGAGAAGCGGTACGTGGCTCAGGTGCGCGAGGACGTGCGCCCCCACACGGTGGTGCTGCGCGTCACGGCCACGGACCGCGACAAGGACGCCAACGGCCTGGTGCACTACAACATCATCAGCGGCAACAGCCGCGGCCACTTCGCCATCGACAGCCTCACGGGGGAGATCCAGGTGGTGGCCCCGCTGGATTTTGAGGCCGAACGCGAGTACGCTCTGCGCATCCGGGCGCAGGACTCCGGCCGGCCCCCGCTGTCCAACAACACGGGCCTGGCCAGCATCCAGGTGGTGGACATCAATGACCACGCGCCTATATTTGTCAGCACGCCCTTCCAGGTGTCCGTCTTGGAAAACGCGCCCCTGGGCCACTCGGTCATCCACATCCAGGCGGTGGACGCAGACCACGGGGAGAACGCCAGGCTGGAGTACTCGCTGACCGGGGTGGCCCCCGACACACCCTTCGTCATCAACAGTGCGACTGGCTGGGTCTCTGTGAGCGGACCCCTGGACCGCGAGTCTGTGGAGCATTACTTCTTCGGGGTGGAGGCCCGAGACCATGGCTCACCCGCTCTGTCCTCCTCAGCCAGCGTCACGGTGACTGTGCTGGACGTGAACGACAACCGGCCCGAGTTCACCACGAAGGAGTACCACCTGCGGCTGAATGAGGATGCCGCCGTGGGCACCAGTGTGGTCAGCGTGACCGCCGTGGACCGTGATGCCAACAGTGCCATCAGCTACCAGATCACAGGCGGCAACACCCGCAACCGCTTTGCCATCAGCACCCAGGGCGGGGCGGGGCTGGTGACGCTGGCCCTGCCCCTGGACTACAAGCAGGAGCGCTACTTCAAGCTGGTGCTCACCGCCTCCGACCGGGCCCTGATTGACCACTGCTACGTGCACGTCAACATCACTGACGCCAACACCCACCGGCCTGTCTTCCAGAGCGCCCACTACTCCGTGAGCGTGAACGAGGACCGGCCCGTGGGCAGCACCGTGGTGGTCATCAGCGCCTCTGACGACGATGTGGGTGAGAACGCGCGCATCACCTACCTGCTGGAGGACCACCTGCCCCAGTTCCGCATCGACGCCGACTCAGGGGCCATCACGCTGCAGGCCCCGCTGGACTACGAGGACCAGGTGACCTACACGCTGGCCATCACCGCGCGAGACAACGGCATCCCACAGAAGGCGGACACCACCTACGTGGAGGTGATGGTCAATGATGTGAATGATAACGCCCCCCAGTTTGTGGCCTCCCACTACGCGGGGCTGGTCTCGGAGGACGCCCCGCCTTTCACCAGCGTCCTGCAGATCTCAGCCACTGACCGGGACGCTCATGCCAACGGCCGGGTCCAGTACACTTTCCAGAACGGGGAAGACGGGGATGGGGATTTTACCATCGAGCCCACCTCGGGCATCGTCCGCTCGGTGAGGCGGCTGGATCGGGAGGCCAGGCCAGTGTACGAGCTGACGGCCTACGCTGTGGACCGAGGTGTGCCTCCGCTTCGGACTCCGGTCAGCATCCAGGTGACCGTGCAGGACGTGAATGACAACGCCCCCGTCTTCCCCGCCGAGGAGTTCGAGGTTCGGGTGAAGGAGAACAGCATCGTGGGCTCGGTGGTGGCCCAGATCACGGCGGCGGACCCCGACGAGGGCCCCAATGCCCACGTCATGTACCAGATCGTGGAGGGGAACATCCCGGAGCTGTTCCAGATGGACATCTTCTCCGGGGAGCTGACGGCGCTCATCGACCTGGACTACGAGGCTCGCCAGGAGTACGTGATCGTGGTGCAGGCCACGTCCGCCCCGCTGGTCAGCCGAGCCACCGTGCACGTCCGCCTCGTCGACCAGAACGACAACAGCCCGGTGCTCAACAACTTCCAGATCCTCTTCAACAACTACGTGTCCAACCGCTCGGACACCTTCCCCTCCGGCGTCATCGGGCGCATCCCAGCGTACGACCCCGACGTCTCCGACCACCTCTTCTACTCGTTTGAGCGCGGCAATGAGCTGCAGCTGCTGGTGCTGAACCAGACGAGCGGGGAGCTTCGGCTCAGCCGCAAGCTGGACAACAACCGCCCGCTGGTGGCCTCCATGTTGGTGACCGTCACAGGTAAGGGGTGGGGGCAGGCAAGTGACTTGTCCTGGCCTCCGGGGCTCCACAGGGCACCTCAAACCCAAGAGGGATCTCCGCGCCTTCTAAGAATCCCTGCACCACCCGGGATCTGCCATAGGCCTCTCAGGTTAGGTTCATACAGTCCCTGCTTAGGCTCTTGGGAAGTCTCTACAGAAAAAAGACTGAGCTGTCTACTACCCCAGGGATGGCCCCCTCCCTCCAAAGGCTGGAGGTCCTGGGTGAATGGTCTGGAGGTCACAGAAAAGCCGGCAGAGGCCAGTCAGCCTGCACCACACCCGTCCAGAAGATGGGTTCCTTTGGGTCCACTCTGCCCCTCACCCCTCCGTGCGGGAGAGGGGAGCCAGTGGTTTAGCGGTCAGAAACAGCAGTGTACTCTGGCAGCTTCGGGCAGAGGGGGCCGCATTGGCCTGGCTACGATCCAAGGGACTGACCAGGCCCTGCCCTTTGGGAAAACAGGCAGAGGCCCACCTGCCTCCTTCCCGCCCGCACAGCGGGTGTCAGAGCCCCTCCTGGGAGCTGCCGTGGGGAGGCTCTGGAGGCTGCGGAGGCCAAAGACAGGCGGTCCTGGCGTCCGCTCCGCAGTGCGGGGCTTGGTCCTGGCCCTGCCGAAGCACTCAGCTTAGGCACCAACCCACCAGCCCGCACCGACCGCCCAGCGTGTGCCATGGTCTGGGGACAGGCGTATAAGCCCCTCATCCTCATTTCCGGGGAGCCACTGAGATCGAAGGACCCAGGTCTGGGGTGATGGGCAACTTGCTGAGGGTGGGAGAGGTTGGGGTGCACGACCCTCCTGGTGCAAGGGAGCTGACTGACCTGAGGGGGTGGGTTGAGGGGTTACAGGGCCTGGGCCAGGGGAAAGCAGTTGCTGACAGAGATAGGGATGGGTAACCCCTGACCTAGAAGCCTCTGTGTTTTGGAGCGTGTCTGGCTGGTTCTGCTGGGGGTGGGGGAGGATGGGTGGTCAGTGTCCTGAGTGGGGTGGCCTGCTGACTAGGATAACTTGGGCAAGGGTGAGTTGCACTTCCGACTCTCTCGTGTTCTATTGGAGGAGTGGCTTGCCGACCTCTGGGCACTGGGTGGGGAGGGTTGCTGGTTGGTCCCTGGCCCAGGCCCCTCCTTGTGTTGGAGGGAGGTGAGAGGAAGCAGCAACTTGCTGACCCCTTGACAGGGAGAGCGGGTCCACCAGGGCCACAGTGGTCACGAGTCCCTTGGCAGGTCAACCTGCTGACTCGGGGGCCAGCGCACTGGGCAGTCACTGGCCCGAGCCCTCTGTGTCCCAGGGAGGGCCGCTGCTGACCCCAGGCTGACCCTGCCCCTCCCCCGCCCGCAGACGGGCTGCACAGCGTGACGGCGCAGTGCGTGCTGCGCGTGGCCATCATCACGGAGGAGCTGCTGGCCAACAGCCTGACCGTGCGCCTCGAGAACATGTGGCAGGAGCGCTTCCTGTCCCCGCTGCTGGGCCACTTCCTGGAAGGCGTGGCCGCGGTGCTCGCCACGCCCGCCGAGGACGTCTTCATCTTCAACATCCAGAACGACACGGACGTGGGGGGCGCCGTGCTCAACGTGAGCTTCTCGGCGCTGGCGCCGCGCGGGGCGGGGGCGGGCGCCGCGGGGCCCTGGTTCAGCTCCGAGGAGCTGCAGGAGCAGCTGTACGTGCGCCGCGCGGCGCTCGCCGCCCGCTCGCTGCTCGACGTGCTGCCCTTCGACGACAACGTGTGCCTGCGCGAGCCCTGCGAGAACTACATGAAGTGCGTGTCGGTGCTGCGCTTCGACTCGTCCGCGCCCTTCTTGGCCTCGGCCTCCACGCTCTTCCGCCCCATCCAGCCCATCGCCGGCCTGCGCTGCCGCTGCCCGCTCGGCTTCACCGGAGACTTCTGCGAGACCGAGCTCGACCTCTGCTACTCCAACCCCTGCCGCAACGGCGGCGCCTGCGCGCGGCGGGAGGGCGGCTACACGTGCGTCTGCCGCCCGCGCTTCACGGGTGAGCCTGCCCGCGGGGCTGGGGCCCGCCCGGCCCGGGAGCCTCAGGCAGAGCGCGAGGGCGGGACCACAGTGCCCGGAGGACGGGGATGAAGGAACCGGCACGGGCGGGGCGCGGTGGGACCAGAGCTGGAGAGCCTGGTCCTGGGGGAGTCCAGGGCCACCAGGACCCAAGGCCTCGGTCGGGGCTGAGGCTGTGAAGGAGGCGTGGCCACTCCGGGGGGCGGGGCTGTGAGCATCGGTTGTAGTGGGTGGGGCGGGACCACGGGGCGTGGTCGGAGTGGGGCGGGGCCAGATAGAGGGCGTGACTAGAATCGGACTGGGCGTGGTTAGGTATGGGCGGGACTAGACAGAGGGTGTGGTTAGAGTCAGGGGGCGGGGTCACTGACTGGGCGTGGGTATGGTGGGCGGGACCAGACCGAGGGCGTGGTTAGAGTCTGGGTGGGCGGGGCCACTGGCTGGGCGTGGTTAGGTGGGTGGGCCAGACGGGGGCGTGTCACTTAAGCGCCAGACCCTTCCGAGGCGTTGAAACCCGCCTGGGAGCCCTGAGCCTCGGGATTGGGGGCGGAGGGGCCTGGAGTGGTGGTGACCGCGGCTCCACCCGCAGGAGAGGACTGCGAGCTGGATACGGAGGCCGGACGCTGCGTGCCCGGCGTCTGCCGCAACGGGGGCACCTGCGCGGACGGGCCCTACGGCGGGTTCCGCTGCCAGTGCCCGGCGGGCGGCGCCTTCGAGGGCCCGCGCTGCGAGGTGTCGGCTCGCTCCTTCCCGCCCAGTTCGTTTGTCATGTTCCGGGGCCTGCGGCAGCGCTTCCACCTCACGCTGTCCCTCTCGTAGGTGCCCGCCCCGCACCCCTGCGGCCTCCACGCGTCCCTCCTACTGCCCGACCCCGCCTCCGACTCCTGCCGCCCCTCCCCGCCCTGCCTGGGCGGTCACTCTGCTGCGCCCCCTCTCTCGCCGCTCCCTAACCCCAGCCTGGGCTCCCTGCCCGCCAGCCTTGTCGCAGGGATGGTGGGTGCGAGGAGTGTGCGGCTTGTGACTCGCCCTGCCCACCCCCACCCAGGTTTGCAACAGTGCAGCCCAGTGGGCTGCTCTTCTACAACGGGCGTCTGAACGAGAAGCACGACTTCCTGGCCTTGGAGATCGTGGCTGGGCAAGTGCGGCTCACCTACTCCACAGGTGGGTGCCCCGGGGGTGTGGGCGGCGGTGCACATGTGTGGGGGCCAGTGCAGCTCCAACCCCCTGAGGGGCCTGCACACCCACCTCCATGGCCGCAGAGCGGTGAGAACCTGATTCCGGGGAGAGTCCGTCTCCGGGGTGCGTGCTGCTGTCTGCCCCAGGCACTCCGGTGCACCAGTGTGTCACCGTGTGTGGGCTGATCGGATGCAACAGCGTCACCCTGGGGGTGGCTGTGCCTACGTGACTTGGGGGGGTCAGCCTCCACACGCATCATCCCAACAGGTGAGTCCAGCACGGTGGTCAGCCCCACAGTTCCAGGGGGCCTGAGTGACGGGCAGTGGCACACGGTGCACCTGAGATACTACAACAAGGTGGGCATCCCCTCGGCCTGGGCATGGGGGGAGCCGGATGCCAAGTCCTGCCCCTCGGGGGTCCCCCCGGGGGCCCTGCTGAGCGGTGTGCCTGGGTCTCTAGCCCCGGACAGATGCCCTGGGGGCAGCTCAGGGCCCCTCCAAGGACAAGGTGGCCGTGCTGAGCGTGGATGACTGTGACGTGGCCGTGGCTCTGCAGTTTGGAGCTGAGATCGGAAACTACTCGTGCGCAGCTGCTGGCACGCAGACCAGCTCCAAGAAGTGAGGCCCGGCCCTGCCCCCATGCCCTCTGCTGGGCAAAGCCCGCCAGCCCGTCACACACCCACTTCGCACTCCCACCCGCCAAGCTCCCACCCTTCCCCAGACCACCAGGTTTCCGCTCCCCACAAGGACCCTGAGACCCCACCTCACCTCTTCTCCCTCCACCACTCCAGACACCACGTGCCTCGCTCTCTCATCCTGACCCTGAGCCCGCTCTTCCCGCTTCCCCCAGACTCTGCCCATCATGAGCTCCTTTGCACCCCCACCTGAAGTAAGGCCCCAGCAGCTCCCCCAGCCAGGCCTCCTCAATGACCTCGCCCTCTAAGTCCTACCCCCACACCTCCTATGACCCCCCCAGGAGCAACCCTACCCTGGCTCCAGTCCCACCAATGACCTGGACCCCTGACCCCCAGGTCCCTGGACCTGACAGGCCCTCTGCTCCTGGGGGGTGTCCCCAACCTCCCCGAGAACTTCCCCATGTCCCACAAGGACTTCGTCGGCTGCATGCGGGACCTGCACATTGATGGCCGCCAAGTGGACATGGCGGCCTTCGTGGCCAACAACGGCACTGTGGCAGGTAGGCGTCCCTGTCCTCGGGTGGGGTGGGGCTGCGAGTGACTCCCCCGCTCACGGTCTCCTCTGGTGGTCAGCACAGCTCCGGTAGCTCCTACAACGGGCCTGCACGGGGTCTGCACGGGCCCGCCTCCATCCAGGTCCACCCCGCGGGGACCTGGGGCTGAGATCGTGGCCACTAGCGGTCCCTGTGGACCCCCAGGTCCTGCCCGCGCTGTGCCCTCATCTCATACGCTCCCCGTGCCTTCCTCCCCCAGGCTGCCAGGCCAAGCTCCACTTCTGCGACTCGAACCCGTGCCAGAACCATGGCCGCTGTGCAGAGCGCTGGGGGGGCTTCAGTTGCGACTGTCCTGTGGGCTTCGGCGGCCGAGACTGTCGGCTCCGTGAGTGAGCGGCTGGGCCGGGGGCCTGCAGGGCCGGCTCGGCTCCTGAGGGGGGCCGGTGACCTTGTCCCTTCTGTCTCCGCAGCCATGGCCCAGCCCCACCGTTTCCGCGGCAACGGCACCCTGAGCTGGGACTTCGGGAATGACGTGGTTGTGTCTGTGCCGTGGTACCTGGGGCTGGCGTTCCGGACAAGGGCGGCGCAGGGGGTCCTGATGCAAGTGCAGGCCGGGACGCACAGCACGCTCCTCTGCCAGGTGCGTCTGGCCCCCGGCCCCCGACCCTCTTTCCCACCGGGGCATCCTCCGCAGGCGCAGGGCATCTGTGTGGCGCCCCACTCAGCGCCCTCTGGCCTGACCTCTGCTCCTTCACCCACTTCCGGCAGCATCGTGGCCCTGGGCGCAGGGCCTGTGTGCCCAATGTAGCCTTGCCCTGCTGTTCTACCCTCTGGTGTTCTCGACCTCTGAGCGCCCTGGCCTCACCTCCCGACACGCCCAGCCCCGGCCAAACGGGGTTCCTAACCCAGGTCTGTGCCTCTCCCCACAGTTGGATCGGGGGTTGCTGTCCCTGACGGTGACCCGGGGCTCGGGCCGTGCTGCCCACCTCCTCCTGGACCAGGTGACCGTCAGCGACGGCAGGTGGCACGACCTGCGGCTGGAGCTGCAGGAGGAGCCAGGTGGCCGGCGGGGCCACCATGTCCTCATGGTCTCGCTGGACTTTAGCCTCTTCCAGGTCTGACCTCTGACCCTGCAGTCGTCCATTCTCAGTCTGCCAACCAGTTGATCCCGCCTCTAGTCAGCTCCTCTCCGCTCCCTCCCCTGCGCCCGCCCCCTCCTGTCCTGCTCCGAGCGCACCCGCAGCCCTCCTCATGGCAGGGGGCTCCCGGATTTCTGGCCCGGTCTTGGGTAGTCAGCACTTTGCCGGACTCTGGGAAACCCTTCTAATCGCCGGCCCCATCTCCCAGCTCAAATCGTGGGATTTCAGGGTCTGTTCTGGTCTAGGAGAAAGGGCCTATCTGAGCCCAGCTCTTTTTTAAAAATTAATTTTTATTGATTTCAGAGAGGGGAGAGGTAGAGAGAGAGAGAAACATCAGTGATGAGAGAATCTTTGATTGGCTGCCTCCTGCATGCCCCCTACTGGGGATCGAGCCCGCAACCCGGGCATGTGCCCTGACCGGAATCAAATGGGACCCTTCAGTCCGCAGGCCGACTCTCTATCCACTGGGCCACACCAGCCAGGGCTGAGCCCAGTTGATCCCTTCCTGACCCATCCCCCTGCTCCAGCAGGTCCCTCATACTCAGACCATCCCCTGGTACAGAGGAGCAGAGCCTGGTTGTGCAGGGCTAGGGCAAGGCCAAGACGGCCTCGGGGGGTAGGGTAGGGGTCCTCTCCCTCCCCAGTGCTGACTGCCCCTCCCCCAGGACACCATGGCGGTGGGGAGCGAGCTGCAGGGCCTGAAAGTGAAGCGACTCCATGTGGGAGGCCTGCCTGCCAGCAGTGGAGAGGAGGCTCCTCTGGGGCTGGTCGGCTGTGTCCAGGTGGGGTCAGCACGGGGTGACCTGGGCTTTGGGGTGAGCGGGGAGAGCAGGGCCTGGGGACCTGAGCAGCTGCGTTCACCTGGGGCGGGGGGCTGAGCCAGAGACAAGTCAAGCCTTTCTGTGCTGCTGGAGGCGAGAGTCCAGCTCCGATGGTCATGGGCCCTTAGAGGTCAGTGTCAGGGGCAGCACAATAGGGGCCCCTGGGCTGAATTAGGGACATGGGGTTGGGTCGGGTCGGGAGCTGCATGTCAGGGGTCATCAGGCCAGCTGTGTCCACAGGGGGTGTGGCTCGGCTCCACGCCTTTGGGGTCCCCAGCCCTGCACCCCCCCGCGCAGCGAGTGAACGTGGAACCTGGCTGTGTCGTGGACAGCGCCTGTGCGTCTGGGCCGTGCCCGCCCCACGCGGACTGCCGTGACCTCTGGCAGACCTTTTCCTGCACGTGCTGGCCAGGTAGGGCCCGGGCGGGGGCGTGATTTGGGGGCTGATGAAGACTCGGGGACCTGGAGAGCCTGGAGGGGGAGGAGGAGGCCGAGGACGGCGCCGCTCCCTCCCGTGCCCTGTGGTCAGTGTCCTGAGCTCTCTGACCCGACCTGCAGGTTACTATGGCCCGGGCTGCGTGGACGCCTGCTTCCTGAACCCCTGTCAGAACCAGGGGTCCTGCCGGCATCTCCCAGGGGCCCCCCACGGCTACACCTGTGACTGTGTGGATGGCTATTTCGGGCAGCACTGTGAGCACAGGTAGGGGGCCAGGGGCCGAGATCAGGGAGGACCTGGGGGCATTAGGAGGGCGCTGAGAGATCGGGGGCATCTCACTGGCTCTGCACCCCCAGGATGGACCAGCAATGCCCGCGAGGCTGGTGGGGGAGCCCGACCTGCGGGCCCTGCAACTGTGACGTTCACAAGGGCTTTGACCCCAACTGCAACAAGACTGACGGGCGGTGCCACTGCAAGGTGTGCCGGGGCCTGGCCCCTGACCCCTGGCCTTGGAACTCTTCCCTAGCCATGATTTGTGATTCTTTTCCAGCTTGCTGACCTCTGCCCCCTGACTCAGGCCCTGACCCTTTACCCGTCCTGTGACCTAAGTGCTGTCTTTTGTCCTTGACATCTGACCCCTCCCTTAAGTTTCACTTGAGGCCCGGCTTCCTCCTGGCCTGTGAGCATTGTTCTCTCGACCCTTCGACCCTTTGTCCTTGGCTCTTCTTCCCCAAGCAAGCGTTGACCTCTGACCTCAGGCCCTGACCCCTTCTCAACCAGGAGTTCCACTACCGCCCCCGGGGCAGTGACGCCTGCCTGCCGTGCGACTGCTACCCTGTGGGCTCCACCTCGCGCTCCTGTGCCCCACACAGCGGGCAGTGCCCCTGCCGCCCGGGTGCCCTCGGCCGCCAGTGCAACGGCTGTGACAGCCCTTTCGCCGAGGTGACAGCCGGCGGCTGCCGAGGTGAGCAGGCCAAGTGCTTTGGTGACTTGCCGCCGAATACGCTAGGCCAGCCGGGGAGGGGCGGGCTGTGAGCCGGGCTGGGTGGCGGAGGGGCCGTGGGAGAGGCTGTCACTCGCCCCTGCTCCTGGCCCCTGGCTCAGTGCCTCCTGTCTCCTTAGTGCTGTACGATGCCTGCCCCAAGTCGCTGCGAGCTGGTGTGTGGTGGCCCCAGACCAAGTTCGGCCTTCTGGCCTCAGTGCCCTGTCCCCGGGGGGCCCTGGGTGAGTACCTCGGAGCAGGCGCATTACTGACGGGGGGGCCTGTCCTTGGCCTGCGGTAGCCGCCTCTTCCTGAGACGGGCGGCCTGGTTCCTGCAGAGGTGGGAGGGGGGAGGGTTCAGGCGGGCCCCTCACTGCCTCCTAGGGGTTCCGTGTCCCTCCCCCACCTCACTGAGCCTCCGTCTGTTTCTCCTGGCTTCTGGGCAGGATTGCGGGGTGCAGGTAAGGGGTACGTGTTTGCTCAGGTGCGCTGCCCCCCCCCCCCCCCCACTGCCAAAGCTTTCGCAGATCCCCCTGCTGCCTGAAGCCCCTGCAGGCCCCTCCCACTGCCTGAGGCCTCTGAAAGCTACTCCTGACTGCTGGGTCCCGGGGCCCCTTCTCTGCTGCCCTTGGTCCTCAGAGACCCTCCCCATGCCTGGAGACTCTGGCTGCCCCTCCCACCTCCTCAGGCCCTGAGGTCCCTGCAGGAACCTGTGTCCCTGCTGCCTGAGTTCCGCCTTCGAGGCTCCTACAGGCTCCTCCCCACGGCCTGAGGTCTCCCCCAAACCCTCCTCCTTGCCTGAGGTCCCTGCAGTGGCTGGACAGAGATCATCCGTGTGCATGCACGTGTGTGTGTCTTTCTGTGCCTGCGCACGTGTCCGTGAGTCTGTCTTGGGGGGAGAGGACCCTGTGTTAAGGTTAGGGTCCTTTTTGCTGATGGCTGCAAGCTCCCTCGTGGTCCAGGTCATTCTTATACAGCCCCCGCCCCAGTCTCATGGACAAGGAGAGGTGGCAGCAGCCATCCCCTGGCAGTTAAAACCTGCGTGGAAACTTCTACCCTCACCAGTTTGGTCACAAAGTCCTCCTGGAGAATCTGGCCTGTGTGTGTGTGTGTGTGTGTGTGTGTGTGAAAGAGCATTGTGTGTGTGTGTGTGCTTGTCCTGGTCCCCACACGTGTGTGTGCAGATAGGAGCATTGGGGTGTGTGCGCGCATGCTTGCGTGCCCTGGGCCGCATGCCTGGGAACCTTTCCTGGCCTGTGTGTGCATGTGCGTGCGGACGTGTGCACAGGCCTGCCCTTGTGCTACCTTTTATCGCTGGTGGTTCAGAACGGCCAGACCCTCAGGAATTGGCTGGCAGCAGCTGGGGGCTGCCTGCGCTGGGGCTGGGCTGCTCCATCCAGGGTCTGATGGGCAGTCCTCTGGTCTCTGACTCAGAGCTTCCTCTGAGACGGGAGAAGATGTGTGGCCACCCCCTCGGGAAGGTGCCCCGGCCCCAGGCCTGACCAGGGCTCGCCTGCCCCCAGGTGCTGCCGTGCGGCTCTGTGACGAGGACCAGGGCTGGCTGGAGCCCGACCTCTTCAACTGCACCTCCCCTGCCTTTCGCGAGCTCACGCTGCTGGTGAGACTGCCAGCCGATGCCCTGCACTCAACACCTGCCCGGCCCTGGCCTCAGTCTCCCCAGGCCTGTGGTCAGCCAAGACCCCACGCCCATCCCTGGGTGCCCGTCCCTCGGCCCAGACACCATACCCATCCCTGGCCCCGGCCTTCCCTGGGTGCCCATCCCTGGGTGCCCGTCCCTGGGTGCCCGTCCCTTGGCCCAGACACCATACCCATCCCTGGCCCCGGCCTTCCCTGGGTGCCCTTTAATCTGGCCAAACCCTTCCTGTGAGGCTTTGGAGAAAGGCCTGAGGGACCCAGTGACCTCGGACCCCATCTTTGTCCGGCAGTTGGATGGCCTGGAGCTGAACAGGACAGCACTGGATACTGTGGAGGCCAAGAAGCTGGCTCAGAGGCTGCGGGAGGTGACCGGCCACACTGACCACTACTTTAGCCAAGATGTCCGCGTCGCTGCCCGCCTGCTGGCCCACCTGCTGGCCTCTGAGAGCCACCAGCAGGGCTTTGGGCTGACGGCCACTCAGGACGCCCGCTTCAACGAGGTGGGCTGTGCCCTGTGCTCTCCCCCAATCGCTGGCCCTGGACTCTGAGCCCCGGGTCCCTGCTTAGGCCCTCCTGGCCCTGGGGAAGAGAAGGCCCTGAGCTCCCTCTTCCCCGGCCCCCCAGACCCACCCCCTGCCTGCTGGGGCCCCCTGAGCCCTGGCCAGACCCCTCCGCCCGCCCTGCCCTCACGCAGCCTGTCCTGGCTGAGCCCGCTCTCCTCCCTCCTCCCAGAATCTGCTGTGGGCAGGCTCTGCCCTGCTCGCCCCGGAGACTGGGGACCTGTGGGCCGCGCTGGGGCAGCGGGCGCCCGGGGGGTCCCCCGGCAGCGCCGGGCTGGTGCGGCACCTGGAGGAGTACGCGGCCACACTCGCCAGGAACATGGAGCTCACGTACCTGAATCCTGTGGGGCTGGTGACGCCCAACATCAGTATGTGGTGGGGGGTGGGCAGGGGCTGCAGAAGGGCGAGGACCTGGGGTCTGAGGGCCGGAGGCTGGCTGCCACCCTCAGCAGGGCTGGGCTCCGCTGGTAGCAGGGAGGCTCTGGGTGTGGGCAGGAAGGAGTGGGACCCCAGCCTGGGGAGGGACCCTTGACGGCCTCACCCCCTTCCTCCTGGGCAGTGCTCAGCATCGACCGCATGGAGCACCCCAGTCCGTCCCGGGGCACCCGTCGCTACCCTCGTTACCATAGCAACCTGTTCCGTGGTCAGGATGCCTGGGACCCTCACACCCATGTGCTGCTGCCTTCCCAGTCCCCACGGCTGTCCCCACATGACGGTGAGGGCCCGGGGTGACCCCTGGGCCGGGTCCTGCTTCCCCAAGCCGGACCCCACGTACCCCCGCCAGGTCCCCTGGGAGAGACTCCCTCGCCAGCCCTCCCCCCACCCCTGGCCACAGCACTCGCCTCCCAGCTCCTGCCGCCTCCAACCTTCCCAGGCCTGACCCTGCGGCCCATGTCCCCTCAAGGCTAGTTCTGGACCCGCAGGGAGGGAAGGCCCACGCCCACGCTGGATGCAGGGTGGGGTTGAGAGCTGGTTTGTGGGCGCTCGGGGCGGAGGTCACTGACAGTGGCTCCTCCCCTTGCCCTGGCAGTTCTGCCCACAGGCGGCAGCGTGGAAAACTCTAGCTCTGCACGCGTGGCCCCCCCGCCACCTGCGCTGGAGCCCGAGCCGGAGCCGGGGACCTCCATCGTCACCCTCCTGGTCTACCGCACGCTGGGGGGGCTGCTCCCCGCCCAGTTCCAGGCCGAGCGCCGGGGCGCCAGGTATGGGGGGGTGGGGGGAGCGATGCCAGGCCCCTCACCCTGAGCTTCCTGCAGCTTCTGCCCAGCCTGGCCCCCCAACCCCGTTTTGGTGGGCAAGCGAGCAGGTTCCTGGTCACGGCTGCTCCTCGGCACAGCGCGGGGCCGGGCCCACCTGCCTGGTTCCGCAGCGTGTTGCGGGGTGTTGGTGGGATGGTCATAGGCAGAGGGCGGGAGCCAGGGCATCAGGCAGCCTGGCTGAGAGGCCAGCAGACAGGCCGCCGGGGAGCCCGGCTGGAGAGAACCTGCCCTTTTGGGAACTGTGACCCCAGCAGAGGCTGAAGGGGTCTCAGAACAGCATCCTCAGGGGCTTCCCAGGCGGGGCTCAGCCACGATGAGTGGCCGAGGACCCTGAGGCGGGCAGCCAGGGCTGGGCGGGCCGCGGCGCTCAAGCCCAAGCGGGTGTCTCCTCAGGCTCCCTCAGCACCCCGTCATGAACTCCCCGGTGGTCAGCGTGGCTGTCTTCCACGGACGCAGCTTCCTGCGGGGCATCCTGGAGGCCCCCATCAGCCTGGAGTTCCGCCTGCTGCAGACGGCGAACCGCAGCAAGGCCATCTGCGTGCAGTGGGACCCGCCTGGCCCGTGAGGACCTCCGCGCGGGAAGCCCTGGGGCCCCTGTTAGCCCCTGGGAGGCCGGCCTGCCCCTGGGGCCCCCCACTCACACCCCTGTGCACCCAGCCCCCCGAGGAATGCTGCTCCCCAACTCCAGACACCCTGGACCCCTCCTGCCCTCTCTCACCCCTGCCCGGTGATGGGGCCCTCCTCGGAGCCGCTGGTGGGTCTCACTGCTCGTGGCCGCAGGGAGGACCAGCACGGAGTGTGGACGGCACGGGACTGCGAGCTGGTGTCCAGGAACGGGTCCCACGCACGGTGTCGCTGCAGCCGGACGGGCACCTTCGGGGTCCTCATGGACGCCTCCCCCCGTGAGGTGCAACTGTGTTCAGGGCCCCGAGGATGTGGGAGGGTCAAAGGGCAGGGGTCGCAGCACCCCAACGGCCACCCCTGTCCCCACAGCGGCTAGAGGGCGACCTGGAGCTGCTGGCTGTGTTCACGCACGTGGCCGTGGCCGTGTCGGTGGCCGCGCTGCTGCTGACCGCGGCCCTCCTGCTGAGCCTGCGCAGCCTCAAGTCCAACACACGGAGGATCCATGCCAACGTGGCGGCCGCCCTGGGGGTGGCCGAGCTCCTCTTCCTGCTGGGGATCCACAGGACCCACAACCAGGTGCAGGGTCAGGGTCAGGGGACCTGAGTCCCGGTGACCTTGGCCGGGCCAGGAAGGCCCAGGGCCAGAGCTCAGGGGCAGAGGTCAGGGGTGCTCCAGCCGGGCCAGGGTGTGGGCCAGGGTGTGGGGCAGGTGCTGTGGTGTGGGCTCAGCGGCGGGCGGGCGTGAGGTGGGCGGGGCCGGAGCATCCTGACGCCCGCCCTGCCTCCAGCTGGCGTGCACCGCGGTGGCCATCCTCCTGCACTACTTCTTCCTCAGCGCATTCGCGTGGCTCCTGGTGCAGGGGCTGCACCTCTACCGCGTGCAGGTCGAGCCCCGCAACGTGGACCGCGGCGCCATGCGCTTCTACCACGCCCTGGGCTGGGGCGTGCCTGCTGTGCTGCTGGGTGAGCGCCCTGCCCACCGGCCCGTGCAGGCTGTGACCCCTGACCTCTGTCCATCACCGGGCCTGCCCCTGCCCCCCAATCCCAGTGTGACTCCAACCTCGGCCCCCATGCCACCTGCTCTGGGAGGACCGCTCTGCTCGCCATCCTGGCCTCTCCCGCCCTCGGAGGCTCAGCGGCTCTAAAACACGCCCCTTCCATCCTGCCCCTCCCCCGCCCCAGGCCTTGCCGTCGGCCTGGACCCTGAAGGCTACGGGAACCCCGACTTCTGCTGGATCTCGGTCCACGAGCCCCTCATCTGGAGCTTTGCAGGCCCTGTCGTCCTTGTCATTGTGGTGAGTGCCCGGCGCTCGGTGCCACCTGTGTGCTCCGCTTGGGGATGGGGCAGCAGCAGCAGGTGAGGGGTGCCAGGGAGGGGCGCCAGGTGGCAGTCTGCAGGCTTCCTGGCTCGGCCTCTGGTCCCCATGCAGCTGGCATGGAGATGGAGGCGGGGGTCGGAGATGGCTGCCCCCCCTCCCCGCCTCTGCCTCCCTGTCTCTCCACCTCTCAGTCCCCTCTGGCTCCCTGTCTCTGTCTCTGATCTCTGTACCATGTGTGTTTCTCTGGGTCTGTCCCCCTCCCACCTGCCCCCCCCCGCCCCCCCCGTGAATCGTGGTCTCTCTCTGTCTCTCACCGTCTCTGTCTCTCTCGGCCTTGCCCGGGTGCCCATGTCCGGCGGTGGGTCCAGATGAGCGGGACCATGTTTCTCCTGGCTGCCCGCGCGCCCTGCGCCTCCGGGCAGAGGGAGGCCAAGAAGACGTCTGCGCTGTGAGTTGGCTGCCTGGGGGTCCGGGGGGTCTCGCCCTCCTGCTTGGGGCCTGGGGTCCCGGGACAGTCCCGGTGCAGGCTGGATTCCAGATTCTGGGGGGGGAGGAAGCTGCCTGCCCGGGGCTGCGGTCACTCCCTGGTGCCCGCAACACGCTGACCACACACGTGCTCTGGCCCTGCTGCCTCCCCAGTCTGCCTGGCCCGGTGGCTCACTGGGCCTCCTGCCCATGGGTTCCCGCCCGTGTTCTTCCCTGTTTGCTCTCATGCCGCTTCCTGCGTGGTTCCCCATGTCCCCTCCTGGCCCCTCATATCCCCCAGCGTCTTCCTGACACCTCCGCGTTCTTGTGTGAATGCCCCCGCCCCCGTCCCCGGGTGTCCCCTGCCTGGCCCCGTGCTGCCTCTCATGTGACTCCGTGTGTCCCGTGTCCCTCCACGATCCCCGTGTGACTCCGTGTGACTCTGTGTGTCCCGTGTCCCTCCATGAGCCCTGTGTGACTCCCGTGTGACTCCGTGTGTCCCGTGTCCCTCCACGAGCCCCGTGTGACTCCCGTGTGACTTTGTGTGTCCCGTGTCCCTCCACGATCCCCATGTGACTCCGTGTGACTCTGTGTGTCCCGTGTCCCTCCATGATCCCCGTGTGACTCCCGTGTGTCCTGTGTCCCTCCACGAGCCCCGTGTGACTCCCATGTGTCCCGTGTCCCTCCACAAGCCCCATGTGACTCCGTGTGATTCCATGTGTCCCGTGTCCCTCCACGAGCCCCATGTGACTCCCGTGTGACTCTGTGTGTCCCATGTCCCTCCACGAGCCCCGTGTGACTTCCGTGTGACTCTGTGTGTCCCGTGTCCCTCCACGAGCCCCGTGTGACTCCCGTGTGACTCTGTGTGTCCCGTGTCCCTCCACGAGCCCCGTGTGACTCCCGTGTGACTCTGTGTGTCCCGTGTCCCTCCACGAGCCCCGTGTGACTTCCGTGTGACCTCCGTGTGACTCCGTGTGTCCCGTGTCCCTCCACGCTCCTGCGCAGGACCCTTCGGAGCGCCTTCCTGCTCCTGCTCCTGGTCAGCGCCTCCTGGCTCTTCGGGCTCCTGGCAGTCAACCACAGCGTCCTGGCCTTCCACTACCTCCACGCCGGGCTCTGCGGGCTCCAGGTACGGCTGGTGGCCCTGTCACCGGGCCTGACGGAGCTTCAGGGCCGCTCCTGGGCGGGCATTGGCAGCAGGCGGGTACTGGCCGGGAATGACCTTCACTCACACCGGGGCTCCTGGCCGCCTGCCTCCTGGCCACACCGACCTTCCCTGACTCGTCCCTCGTGTCCCGGGGACCTTGGCTGACGCCTGGCTGGCCCGGGGCCTCCTCGCTCACTGAAGTCTCCGCCCTCGTGCCCCAGGGCCTGGCCGTGCTGCTGCTCTTCTGTGTCCTGGATGCCGACGCCCGGGCCGCCTGGACGCCCGCCTGCCTGCGCAGGAAGCCGGTGCCCGAGGAGGCCAGGCCCGCGCCGGGGACGGTAGGAGGCCCTCAGGGCCGGGAGGCCAGGGTTCGAGGCTTCTCTCGGTGGCTCACCCCCTGTCTCCCCCCAGGGGCCTGGGGTTTACAACAACACGGCCCTCTTCGAGGAGAGCGGCCTCATCCGCATCACCCTGGGCGCCTCCACCGTCTCCTCCGTGAGCAGTGCCCGCTCCGGCCGGGCCCAGGACCAGGACAGCCAGCGGGGCCGGGGCTGCCTCAGGTGAGCGGAGGGACACAGCTCCCACCAGCCCGCGTTCCCGGGGTGGGCGCTGCCGGGCCCAGCTGGGCCCCCTGGGCCTCTGTGGCGCCTCCGTCCCGAGGCCTCCTGCCTCACCCCGGTGCCCTGGGAGCCATCCACGGGCACGCAGACGCCCGGCCTCCAGGGTGCCCATCGCCCCTCTTTAACGGGGCGGGGGTGTGCATTTCCAGGGACAGCGTCCTGGTCCGACACGGCTCGGCTGCGGACCATACTGACCACAGCCTCCAGGCTCACGCCGGCCCCACAGACCTGGACGTGGCCATGTTCCATCGAGACGCTGGCGGAGGTGGGGGCCCGGGCGGGGAGGAGGGAGACACATCTCTCCCCGCCTCCCCTCTCTTCTGTCCCAAATTGGGAGCCGCGGCTGCAGCCGCCAGCTCCCCAGGTCACCACCCTAGCGGGCACCCAGCACCCAGCCCTGTTCTCCTAACAAGGCCCAGCCCTCTGCCCCTCACCCTCTCCCAGGCCCCAGTCCCCAGCCCCTTCCTTCCTGCAGGGGCCACCCCAGGGCTCCCCAAGTCCCTCCTTTCCCCACGACCACGCTGGGCCTCCCACCTCTGACCTCCCGCCCCAGGTGCAGACTCCGACTCCGACAGCGACCTGTCCTTGGAGGAGGAGAGGAGTCTGTCCATCCCGTCCTCCGAGAGCGAGGACAACGGCCGGCCGCGGGGGCGTTTCCAGCGTCCGCTCTGCCGGGCCGCCCAGAGCGAGAGGCTCCTCAGCCACCCCAAAGGTGACGGGGCCCCCCGACCCCCGGGTGACCAGGACACCCCGTCCCACTTGGGTGTGACCCAGGGACCCCCCTCCCCAAGGACTCCTGGGCCCGACCTGCTGGGCCGGCACTCCTCTTCCCTCCCGCCTCTGGCGTGTTCCGTGGCTGGAGGCCCGCACAGCCGGTGGCCGGAAAGCAAGTCAGGGTGTTCTAGGTGACACGCCACCCCTCCAGCCCCTGGGGTTCCCTGGGGTGGGGGCTCCTCTCTCAGCATCAGGTTCCCCCTGTCTCTGTCTGCCTCCAGCTGAGAGGGAGGGCGCATTAGTGCCCCGAAGGCTCATGGACCTCTGAGAGCCGCCTCCCGTTCGTACCTGTGCTCACAGGACAGCCAGGGTTTTAGGGGCCGTTCGGGTCAGGGGTCAGAGTCAGGGCCACAGGGGTCATGAACCACTGGGTCCTGTCACGGCCCTGGCTCTGCAGATGTGGACGGCAATGACCTCCTGTCCTACTGGCCCGCCCTGGGCGAGTGTGAGGCTGCGCCCTGCGCTCTGCAGGCCTGGGGCTCCGAGAGGCGCCTGGGGCTGGACACCAGCAAGGACGCGGCCAACAATAACCCGCCGGACACGGCCCTGACCAGCGGCGACGAGACCTGCCTGGGCCGGGCCCAGCGCCAGAGGAAAGGTGCGAGCCTTGGCCTGGCCTGTACTTCAGGAACCCCATGTCCTCACTTGGGGTTCCACCCTCCCAACCCAGACGGCTCCACGGGGTCCTGAGTGCTCCCTCTGCTCCGATCTGGGGGTTTCCACTCCCCTCTGCTGCACCACAGTCCCTGGGGATGCCATCATGGCTGCGCGTTGCCTGCCCCGCCCTGGTGTGGACCACAGAAACCCCGGGGCCTCCTGCCCCAGCCCAGGGGTTCTCCCCCAACCCCATCTGCGTCCTGCGAGCCCCAGGAGCCCCTGTGCCTCAGGCCTCAGAGCTCCTGCCCCTCCCCTGTTGGACAGGGGTCCTGAGAGATGGTCCCGCCCACCCAAGGGCTCCCTGCCCTGACCTGCACCACAGAGACCCCCGGAGTGCCCTGCCCCAGCCCAGGGGTTCTGCCCTCTGACCCTGTCAGCATCACCAGGACCTGGGGCTGCCCCCACGCCGACCTGGTGGGGGGCGGCTTGTCTCCACCCCTGCACGAGGGAGCTGTCCTGTCCTGGCCCTGTCCAGCTGCCTCTGGAACTCCCAGAAGCCGCCTCTGCGCCTCTCCCAGGGGTTTCTGCCCCAACCCTGTGTCACAGGGACCCCAGGGCTGCCATGTCCCTAGACCCGGGGAGTCCCTGCCCCCCTTTTACACATCCTGCCCCCTGCTGTTCCCACCCAGGCATCCTAAAGAACCGGCTGCCGTGCCCACTGGTGCCACAGCCCCGAGGCACCCCTGAGCTGTCCTGGTGCCGCGCAGCCACCTTGGGCCACCGCGCCGTGCCGGCGGCCTCCTACGGCCGCATCTGTGCCGGGGGCTCGGGCAGCCTCTCGCAGCCGGCCAGCCGCTACTCCTCCCGCGAACAGCTGGACCTGCTCCTCCGGCGGCAGCTGAGCCGCGAGCGGCTGGAGGAGGCCCCGGGCCCTCTGCTGCGCGCCCTCAGTCGGCCGGGCTCCCAGGAGCGCCTGGCTGCTGCGCCCGGCCGCCCGGAGCCCAGGGACCGGGGCAGCACCCTGCCGCGGAGGCAGCCGCCCCGGGACGGCCCCGGCGCCGCCGGCCGCTTCCGGTCACGGGATGCGCTGGACCTGGGCGCGCCCTGCGAGTGGCTGCGCACGCTGCCCCCGCCCCACAGCGCCCGGGACCGGGACCCACCGCCCCCGCCTCGGCCCCTGTCTCCCCAGCGGCAGTTCTCCAGGGACCCCCTCTTGCCATCCCGGCCCCTGGACTCTCTGTCCCGGAGCTCGAACTCAGGGGAGCGGCTGGACCAGGTGCCTAGCCGGCACCCCTCGCGCGAAGGCCTGGGGCCCCCCCCACAGTTGCTCCGAGTCCGGGAGGACCCGGCCCGCGGCCCCTCCACCGAGCAGCTGGACATCCTCTCCTCTATCCTCGCCTCCTTCAACTCCTCGGCCCTCTCCTCCTCCGTGCAGTCCTCCAGCTCGCCCTCCGGCCCCCACACCACGGCCACGCCTTCCGCCACGGCCTCCGCGCTGGGGCCCTCCACGCCGCGCTCGGCGACGTCCCACAGCATCTCGGAGCTGTCGCCTGACTCGGAGTAAGCGGGTCCAGCCCCTGCACACCCCCATCTGCTCAGGACCATCTTCTGTGGGCGCCCTGTGTCTGCCACAGATGGGGTGTGGGTGGGGCGACAGTGACAGTGTGGGCACCCGGGCTCAGCACAGTCAGGGGCCGAGGGCAGAAACCCGCAGGGAGAGGGGCTGTGATTGACGGGGGCTTGCGGCTGTGCTTGGGCCAGCACCCCCCGCCCCCCCCCCCCGCCTCCCCCCCTCCCTCTGGGCTACAGGGAAGGACAGGGGCCTTGCCTTCTAAGGGGCTTGAGCTGGGTGTGGGGGTCAGAGGAGGCAGGAGGCTGGGCCAGGGGGAGTGGGGAGAGCAGGGGTGGGAAGTGGTGCCAGGATATGGGTCCTTGCACGCCAGGCTGGACAGCTCACAAATGGTAACGCACTCATCCCTTCACTCAGTCAGTGTCAGGTCCCTCCTGCCTAGGGCACTGGGGGCGGGGCACACAGACGCTGAGCTGGGACCTGGTGCATCCCAGTGCCCGTGGGCCTCTGTGGGTGGGGGTGGCGGACACACCGGAGGCAGCTGCATGCACAGGTGTCGGGGAGGCCGTGGGGGGAACAGGAGTTGCCAGGCCTCAGCAGTCAAAAGGAGGGTTGAGTTTTATTTGTTTAAAAAAGTTTTTTTAAATCTATTGATTTTGAGAGAGAGAGAAACAGACAGACAGACAGACAGGGGCTTGCTCCGCCTCTCCATGCGCCCACTGGTTGACACTTGTATGTGTTGACCTGATGGGGTTGAGCCCGCCCCCTGGGTGCGTCAGGACAGCACTCTGACCAGCAGCTCCCCGGCCAGGGCGGCCAGGGCGGCCAGGGCGAGAGCTGCGTTTTCAGGAGGAGGGACAGCTAGTCAGGTCTGTGGAGCCTGTAGGGTGAGCGGCTTCGGGGAGGGAGGACCCCCAGGGTCTGAGCAGAGTTGGGGGAGAAGGAAGGAAGGTGAGTGGGGCAAAGGACTTGGGGCCTGGTGCCCAGGGCGCTGGGAGGGTGCTGGGGGAGCCCCATCGGGTCCTGCAGCCTGGCGGTGGGGTCTGGCTGTGGGGGGCAGGGAGCTGGGGGACTGAGCAGGGGTTCAGGCTTTGAGTGACCCCTCTGAGCCTCCGTTTCCTTATCTGCAAAATGTGCCTGTAGGAGCAGGCCCTGTGAGATGGGGAAATTTCTGAGACCAGATCTGCCCAGTGTGAGCCTGGGGTCTGTCACAGGGGGTGCTCGCTACGCCTGGAGGAGACACGCAGGTGGCCCGCCTGGCGCCTGGCTGATGGCTCTCCCCGTTCCACTCGCAGAGTCCCCAGAAGTGAGGGCCACTCCTGAGGGGCCGCCGGCAGCTGAGGAGCCGCGGGCAGCGGAGGATTTGGGCGACGCTGTCGGAAGAGACCCCCGGAGGCGGGCTGACCCCAGGCGGCCCCGCTCCCCGGGCTGCCGGCTGAGCTGCATGCTCCTCCTGAGAGTGCGCATGCGTGGGGCTGACAGGGGTGCAGGGCCTGGGAACGGAAGGGAGGACTTTTATACTTTTGTATCTTTGTAACCAGAGAGATATGCGTATGTTATTTTTTAGCTTTTCTGTTGCCTGGGGTTCTGAGGCGGGGCTGGGAGGGGCGGGGCCGAGGGGAGAGGCGCAGAGTTTGGCTCCGCTGGGGTTCCCGGCACCAGATGCTCTTCTCTCCTCTTAACGGGGCGGCTCTTGCAGATCCTCCCGCCCCCCCAGGGGATCGGAACATCGCCAGGGCCCAGAGAACAGAACTGATCTTTGCTTTTTCTTGGATGCAAACTCCTGAGACTGGGGGTGGGGCTTGGAAACAAGGGTCCCCTGGCCGCCTCACAGGGCCCCCTCGTGCCGCCCCTCCCCGTGGGTTTGGGTGTTCACGGTGCGGAGCCCCTGCCGTTACTGCCTTATGACCGAGGACTGCTGCTGGTGCCGGGGAGCCGGGGAGCCGGGGAGCCGGGGAGCCGGGGAGCCGGGGAGCCGGGTCCTCCTCCCAGAGGGCTGCAGGCCTCGGTCACCGCCCGCAGAGGGCGCCCGCCCTGCTGTGAGCAGAGCTGTCTGGTGCCCGTGATTCCCGCCAGGACTCCTGCCGAGGGCTGGGTGGGAGGGACAGCCAGGCATCAGAACCAAGGGACTGACACCCCCATGTTTACAGGAGCGCCCGGCCGGCACCGGCTGAGCAAGCGGCGCCCTCCCGCGCCACCCCCTTCCGCTGGGAGGCAGGACTGTTAGGACCCTGTGCACAAAACTCCGTTTGATTGCTTTGTCTGATGTCCGGAACTGGGAACTTCTGCATTTTGTTACTTTGTTTACAGGTCAGGATTGAAAACGTTTTAAGCCTTTGTTTACAACTGGAACTTTTTACACTTTGTTTACAGTTTAGAATGTTTCCACCCCCTTTGTTTACAAGTGGGAGGTAGCAAAAGTGGGAGAGGGGCTGGAGGAGCCCACCTGGCAGGACCCTGGCCCTCTGCGGGGTGTGTAACCCCGCTGTCCCACCAGAGGTCAGCCCTGAGTGCCTGCTGGACAGCTGGACAGCAGCGGGAGGCCTCCTCTTACCACCGGGACGGGTCTTGCAGGGTTGGGGGCGGGGCGGGCAGACGGTCCCTCCTCCGCGGATGCTCTTGGGAGCCGTTTCCCAGGAGACCGAACGCTCTACTTGACTGACAGGTGCCAAACCCCACCGGCCAGGACCCCGCTCTGCTGACCAGAGTGGCCCGCCTTGCAGGGTTGCGGGGTCCGCGTGGGGAGAGGGGCTGCCCTTGCTATGTCCTGGCTCTGTAGATGCCCCTCCCTGGGGTCGCCCCCTTCAGCCCGTCGCCCCTCTTCCTGTCTGTGTACATTGTTCCGTGAAGCCGCGCTCTGTTTTGGGAATAAACTTCTATAGAAAATGGTTATTGTCTCTCTCTTTCTTAAAAATGTATTGATTTCAGAGAGAGGAAGGGAGAGAAACATCAGTTTGTTGTCCCACTTATGCACTCATTGGTTGCTTCTTTTTTTTTGATATATTTTTTTTGATTTCTGAGAGGAAGGGAAAGGGAGATAGAAACATCAATGATGTAAGAGAATCATTGATGGCTGCCTCCTGCTCGCCCCCTACTGGGGATGGAGCCCAAAAACCCGGGCCTGTGCCCTTGACTGGAATCGAACCTGGGACCCTTCAGTCCACAGGCGGACGCTCTATCCACGGAGCCACACCGGCCAGGGCCATTGGCTGCTTCTGGTACCTGCCCTGACAGGGGTGGACAGGCTCCAGCCAGGGGGCCCCTGGCCAGGCCTCCGGTCTCTCGTCGGTGGGTAGGAGGTGGCTGTGGCGACCCAGGAGGCCGAGCTCCGGGAGAAACCTGAGCGGGACCTTCTCCCGAGGCTCAGCTATTTTTAGCCCATTTCATGGGCGAGCCGGCCCGGCTCCCATCGCCTTTGCCCTCAGTTCTGGCCTCACCTTGTGACTGGGCCCCAGTAAGGGCCGCGGGGAACCCCGCCTCCGCAGGGCAGGCCGGGCTGCAGGCAGCTGCGGACTTCACTTGCCTGGCCCGGGGCAGGAGCGCTCAGAGCTGCCCTTGCTGACCCTGCAGCCCGTGGACAGCACCGGCCCCGGCAGCCTCTGCGATTTGGAGCCGTGGGGACATCACGTTCCGCGCGGAAACCTGGGTGGGGGGCAGCATTCCCGGGCGGGGCTCGGGGGGAGCCTCACTTCGGGGCTGGGTGTCTGTCCAGAGTTGGAGGGAGGCTTCCGGCCCCTCCCGTCTCGGAGCAAAAGCCCGAGGGTGGCGCTCGCAGGGGCACAAGCGGCCCCACGACCCGGACACCCACCCCCACGGGGCTGAGGCTGGGGTCGCCAGTCGCGCCCCTCGGCATCCCGGCCTCGCGGGGTTTCCTTTCCTATTCCCCGGGGCCTCCCCAAGGAGCCCCGTAAGGAGCCGGCCCGGGCCCCCCCCCCCCCCCCCCGTCTGCAGACAAACACACCCCCCCCCCCCCCCCCCGCTCGCTCAGTCAGGAGGGCGGGGCCCGGCGGAGCGCCCGCGCCGGCCGCGGGGCAGAAGGAGTTAAATCTCCCCCCCGCGGGGCCCGCCCCGCCCAGGGCGCCCCGCCGAGGCCCCGCCCCGGAACGCTGATTGGCCCGAGCCTCTCCCGTCCTGCCCGGCGATTGGCTCCCGGGGGCGCGCCTCAGCCCCGGCCCGCGCCGCAGCCCCGCCCCCCGGCCCGTAGCGGCCTCGGCCCGCTTGGCTGGAGCGGCGGGCGGCTGGCAGCGCGCCCGCCCCGGGGCTGTCGGAGGCGTCGGGGTGAGTGCAGGGCGCGGCCGGGTCCCGGTGTCCGCGCGGCGCCGGCGAGGGGTCGCTCAGCGGGGGCGCCGCCGAGTCGGGAGCAGCGGTTTCCCGCCTGCACCGCCCCGCTTCCCTGCTCCCGCCGGTTCCCCGCGGGCAGCGTCCCAGCTGCTGCGAGGGATGGGCGGGCGCCCGGGACCCCGGCCTCCAGGGCGGGGCGGGGGCGGCGGGGGGCGGCGCGCCCTGGAGTCCGCCCAGGAGGTGCGCGCGGGCTGCGTTGGTGCCCGAGGTCGCTGCACCGAGCCCGTGGGGAGGCCTGGCCCACCCAGCTGGGCTCCTGGCCCGGTACCGAGCGCGGGGGTTCGGGCCGCTGAGCTCTTCCCGAAGGAGGGGCCCGGGATGTAGGCCCCGCCTGCCGGCGCCGGCCCTGCCCGAGCGGGGAGACCCGAGTGACTCAAGGAGGAGGGGCGCGGGGCTCAAAGATCTCCGAGCCGGCGGTGCCAGTCCCCGAGGATCTGTGCGCCGCGCACGCCCTCCTCCGAGCGACCGGGCACCCGGTGCACAGCCTTTCCCGGCGAGTGCCCGCTCCTGGGTGGCACCCGCCCCGGGGCAGAGCTGCCTTCTCAGCCGGGAGAGCTTTCCTTCAGGTAAGGTGTCCCAGGTGAGGGCTCCCCCAGGTGAGGTCCCCTCCCAGGTGAGGGCTCCCCCAGGTGAAGGCTCCCCCAGGTGAGGGCTCCCCCAGGTGGGCCGACCGTCCCTGCCGCCGGTGAAACGCTCCCAGCTGGTGGGAGTTTCTGGCAGGTCTCGCGAACCCCCCTCTGATAGCTCCTATTTCCAGGGCCAGGGGAGCTCCCCCCCATGTGAGGGCTCCCCCAGGTATGACCTCCTGCTGCTAAGTGAGGTCACGCCCCCTCTTCCGGTGGGAACTGGGGGGCGATTCTTCCCAGGACGGAGGCAGCTGGCGGGTGAAACTTGCCTGCGGGTGAGGCTGTCCCCGGAGGTCCCCCCTTCCGGCGGGAGCTTCCTTCCCTTGTGGGGAGGGGCCTCTGAAGAGGGGTGTGCCTGGGGGCCAGGTCCCCTTTGCTGGGTCCTTCCTGTCTGGGCTCCCAGCCAGGCAGGGGCTCGGGGGCAGCTGGGAAAGGACTCAGGCTGAGCAGAGCTTGGCTGGGGGAGGCCCCGGGGCTCAGGGAGGAGGCTGGAGGGGCAGCCGGCCTGGGACCCGGCTGGTGGACACTCTGGCCGAGCAGATACCTTGGGGCTAGAGGCGTGGCCTTGCTCATCCCCTTGTCTCTTGATGGGGGACTTTGGCCCAGGAAGAGGCTTCCACCAGCCAAAGTTCAGGCTCTACCCCTGCCGCACGGGCGTGGGGCCAGCTGGAGGTTGGACCCACTGAGATCTTGGGGCCTCGAGAAGTCAGATGGGCGATGCTCTGGTCCGACGGGGCGGTGTGGGGGGTTGGGCCAGGGGTGCTCTCACTGTGTCTCTGGTCTCGCCACCCCAGACCGGGGGACACCCAGGTACTGCGGACCACCACGGAGGCAATGGAGCGGAGGAGGCGGGACTACCGTGTGGAGCGGCAGCTGCTGGACCAGGAGCAGCTGGAGGAGCTGGGGCGCTGGGGCCCGGCACCCCGGACCCGCTGGTGGCGAACCTCTTTGCAGTAAGACTGAGGATGGGGGAGGGCCGCCGGCGGGACTTAGGCAGCCCCCGTGCTTGATACCGACCCCGTGTCCCCAGGTGCTCCCGGGCCCGGGCCCGAGCCCTGCTGCTGCAGCACCTGCCTGTCGTGGCCTGGCTGCCCCGGTATCCTGTGCGCGAGTGGCTCCTGGGCGACCTGCTGTCTGGCCTGAGCGTGGCCATCATGCAGCTGCCACAGGGTGAGGCCCTGATTCGGAGCTGCACCCTCAGCCTTCGGGCGGTGACCTGGCCTGCAAACCTTACCCCCTCCCCCCCAAAAAATAACCCTAGCCCTAGCCAGTGTGGCTCAGTGGATAGAGCATCAGTCCAAGGACTGAAGGGTCCTGGGTTCGATTCCGGTCAAGGGCACAGGCCTGGGTGTGGGCTCCATCCCCGGTGTGGGACGTGCGGGAGGCAGCCGGTCCATGGTTCTCTTCCTCCGTTGATGTTTCTCATTGATGTTTCTATCACCCTCTCCCTTCCTCTCTGAAGTCAATAAAAGTATATTAAACAAAAAAATAACCCTGAAGCCATGACCCCTGCCCCTGGAACGGTGGCCCGTGACCTGGTGCTGGGATTTCCTCATTCTCTCAAGGCTCAGCCTCCAAACCCACGTGCTCCCGTCCCACCTGCAGGCCTGGCCTACGCCCTGCTGGCTGGACTGCCCCCTGTGTATGGCCTCTACAGCTCCTTCTACCCTGTCTTTATCTACTTCCTGTTTGGCACTTCCCGGCACATCTCGGTGGGTGAGTGGAGCCAGGCCCAGCCTGACAGGACGATGCCCACATCCTCCGTGGAGGGCAGGGTGAGGGAGGACCGAGCGGGGCAGCTGGGAGGCGGCCTGAGGGTCATTCCCAGGCAGGATGAGGCCTGTGAGCCAGGGCCGTAGGCACAGGTACCTGACGTGAGCAGGGGGTACGGGGCGGGGGGGGAGGGGCAGGGCAGAGGGCGCAGGGCCCATGTCTGGCCACCGGAGCCAGGGCTCCCACCTGACCCCCAGCACGGCCTCCGTTGCACAGTGGAGTCTGGGGACATGTGTCTAGAACTGATGTCGCCCGCCTCTCCCTTAAGGCCAGGGCTCCCGGTAGGACAGCGTCCGCTCCCCGTCAGACCTGCCTGTCCCTGCAGGCACCTTTGCTGTCATGTCCGTGATGGTGGGTAGCGTGACGGAAGCCCTGGTCCCGGACGAGGCCGTGAACTCCACCGTCAACGTGACGGCCAGGGATGCTCACCGGGTGCAGGTGGCCTCCTCTCTCAGCGTCCTGGTGGGCCTCTTCCAGGTGCGGAGCGGTCAGGAGGGGCCCCGCTGTCCCCGCCACTGCCAACCCCCTCCGCCCCCTCCAGCTCCCCTGTGTCTGAGCCTCACCGTCCTCCTCATCTCACCCCCTCCGATCCCTCCTGCCCTGGGCGCTGGTCCAGCCACCCCAGGCCACTGACCGCCGCGGCCGGCCCACAGGTGGGGCTGGGCCTGGTGCACTTCGGCTTCGTGGTCACCTACCTGTCCGAGCCGCTGGTGCGCGGCTACACCACGGCCGCCGCCGTGCAGGTCTTCGTCTCGCAGCTCAAGTACGTGTTCGGCCTCCAGCTGAACAGCTTCTCTGGGCCGCTGTCCCTCATCTATGTGAGTGAGGGCGGGAGGAGGCTGGGGTGGTGCCCGTGACCCTGAGGGCTGGCGTGACCCCGCCTCCCTTCAGACGCTGCTGGACGTCTGCTGGAAGCTGCGCCAGAGCGTGGTGGGCGCCGTGGTCACGGCCGCCGTGGCAGGGCTGGTGCTGGTGGCCGTGAAGCTGCTGAACCACAAGCTGAAGCGACACCTGCCCCTGCCGCTCCCCGGGGAGCTGCTCACGGTTCGGCTCCAGGGCATGGGCGGGGGGCCAGGCAGGCTGCACCCTGTGGGCGCCCCCAGGGCTACGCCTCACGGGGTGGCACCGGTGAGAGGTCCTGGGGTGGGGGGACCACGCAGGAGGCCCCGCGTCAGCCGCCTCCCCTCTCACTGACTCCCCCCCAGGTCCCCCCCTCCCACGGAGGTTTGGCTCTCGACCTCCCTCTCCATCCCCAGCGAGGTTCCCCATCCCCCGCAGCAGTGCCAGCCCCCCCCCCCCCGCCCGCCCCCGACTCTGTCCCCGCAGCTCATCGGGGCCACGGCCATCTCCTACGGCGTGGGCCTCCAGCACAGGTTCGGGGTGGATGTCGTGGGCAGCATCCCTGCAGGGTGAGCTCCGGCCCCTGGAGGTGAGGGAAGGCTGGGCCCAGGCAGCGCCTTCCTCTGGCCTCACAGACGCCCCTCGCAGGCTGGTGCCCCCCGTGGCCCCCAGCCCCCAGCTGTTCGCCAGCCTCGTGGGCAACGCCTTCGCCATCGCCGTGGTGGGGTTCGCCATCGCCATCTCCCTGGGGAAGATCTTCGCCCTGAAGCATGGCTACCGGGTGGACAGCAACCAGGTCTGGGGGCGAGACGGGGGACACGAAGGGGCACACTGGTTACCAGAGCCCCCGGGGCCTGGGGGGGAGTGTCCGGGGGGACCATGCGGGCTGAGGGTGGAGAGGGGACACGGGACAGCAGGCCAGGCCTCGGGCTCTGGAGCGGGGATGGCGGTGGGGACGGCGCGGGGCCGGGCTCGCTGGTGACGGCTCCTCCCTCCCCCAGGAGCTGGTGGCCCTGGGCCTCAGCAACCTCATCGGGGGCGTCTTCCAGTGCTTCCCCGTGAGCTGCTCCATGTCCCGGAGCCTCGTCCAGGAGAGCGCCGGGGGCAACACGCAGGTGGGCACGGGGGCAGGCGCGGGCGGGGCCCAGCCTCTGTGCACAGACCTGGTGACCCCGCCCGCTCACCCCGACCCCCAGGTGGCCGGAGCCGTCTCCTCCCTCTTCATCCTCATCATCATCCTCAAACTTGGGGAGCTCTTCCAAGACCTGCCCAAGGTGAGCCCCACCCACACCCACACCCACACCCACACCCACACCCACACCACACCCACCCACCCCACACCCACACCCATACCCACACCCACACCCCACACCCACACCCACACCCATACCCACACCCACACCCATACCCACACCCACACCCACACCCACACCCATACCCACACCCACACCCATACCCACACCCACACCCACACCCACACCCACACCCACACCCCACACCCCACACCACACCCACACCCATACCCACACCCACACATACCACACACCCCACACCCCACCCACACCCACCCAAACCCACACCCACACCCACCCAACCCACACACACACCCACCCACACCCCACACACCACACCCACCCCACCACACCCCACACCCACACCCCACCCACACCCACACCCCACACCCACCCCACACCCACACCCACACCCACCCACACCCCACACCCACACCACCCCACACCCACACCCACCCACACCCCACACCCACACCCACCCCACACCCCACACCCACCCACACCCACACCCACAGCCCCACACCCCACACCCACCCACACCCCACACCCACACCCCACCCACACCCACACCCCCAGCCCCCACAGCCCACACCCACCCCACACCCACACCCACACCCCACACCCCACACCCACCCCACCCCACACCACACACCCACCCCACACCCACGACCCACCCCACCCACCCCACACCCACCCCACACCCACACCCACCCACACCCACACCCCACACCCCCACACCCCCACCCAACCCACAACCCCACCCACCCCACCCCACACCCACACCCCACCCACACCGCACCAGCAACCCACCCACCACACCCCACCCCACCCCACCCCCCCACACCCACCCCCACAACACCCCCACACACACCCACACCCACCCCACACCCACACCCACCACCCACACCACCACCCACCCACAGCCACCCACACCCACCCACACCCAGCCCACACCCACCCCACCCACCACCCCACCACCCATACCACCCACACCCCCCCACACCCACACCCACCCACCCCACACCCATCCCACACCCACCACCCACACCCAAACCACCCCACACCCACCCACACCCATACCCCACACCCACACCCACACCCCACCCCAACCCCACCACACCCACCCCACCACACCCCACCCACCCCACCCCAACCCACACCCACCCCACACCCACACCCACACCCACCCCACACCCCACCACCCCACACCCCACCCCCACCCACCCACACCCACCCCACACCCCACCCACCCCACACCACACCCACACCCACACCACAACCCACCCACACCACCCCACCCACACCCAACCCACACCCACCCACCCACACCCACACCACACCCCAACCACACCCACACCCACCCCACACCCCACCCACACCCACACCACCCACACCCCACACCCACACCCCCACCCACACCCACACAACACCCACACCCACACCCACCACCACACCACACCCACCACCCACACCCACCCACACCCCACACCCACCCCACACCCACCCCACACCCCCACACCCACCCCACACCACCCACACCACCCCACACCCACACCCCACCACCACACCCACAACCACACCCACACCCACCCACACCCCACACCCCACCCACCCCACACCCACACCCACACCCCACACCCACACCCCACCCAACACCCCACCCACCACACCCACACCCACACCCCACCCACACACCCACACCCACCACACCACACCCCACACCCACCCACACCCACCCCACACCCACCACCCACACCACACCCCACACCCACACCCACACCCAACCCACACCCACCCACCCAACACCCCACCCACACCCACACCACACCCACACCCCACACCCACACCCCACCCACACCACACCCACACCCCCACCCACACCCCACCCACACCCACACCCACCCCACACCCCACACCCACACACCCACACCCACACCCACACCCACACCCACCCACACCCCACACCCACACCCCACACCACACCCACACCCACACCACACCCCACCCCACCCACACCCACCCCACACCACAACCCACACCCACACCCACACCCACACCCACACCCACACCCACACCCACACCCACCACACCCATACCCCCACCCCACACCCAAACCCACACCCCACACCCACACCCACAACCCATACCCACACCACACCACCCCACACCCACACCCACACCCACACCCCACACCACACCCCACACCACCCACACCCACACCCCACACCACACCACACACCCACACCCCACACCCACACCCACCACCCCACACCCACACCCACACCCACACCCACCACACCCCACACCACCCCAACCCACCCACACCCACACCCACACCACACCCATACCCACACCCACACCCACCCCACACCCCACCCACACCCACACCCCACCCACACCCCACACCCCACCCACACCCACACCCACACCCCACACCCCACCCACACCCACCCCACCCACACCCCACACCCCACCCACACCCACACCCACACCCATACCCACACCCCCACACCACACCCACACCCACACCCCACCCACCCACACCCACACCCACACCCCACCCACCCACACCCACCCACACCCCACACCACACCCACACCCCACACCCACACCCCACACCCACACCCCACCCACCCACACCCCACAAACACCCACACCCACACCCACACCCAGACCCAGACAGGCCCTGGGCTCAGAGCCGGTCAGGTCCCAGGTGAGATCTTTGGGGTGAGATTGGAGCTAGGGGTCAAGGGAGAGAACCTTTCGGAGTCAGACCCATGTGGTCAGGCCGGGGTGGGCGTGGGCGATGCCCGTGTGTGGGGTCAGCCGGCTCCGTCCCCAGGCGGTCCTGGCGGCCATCATCATCGTGAACCTGAAGGGCATGCTGCTGCAGTTCCGGGATGTCTGCTCCCTGTGGAGGGCGAACCGCGTGGACCTGGTGAGCGCCGGGCCAGGGGGGGCCTCCGCCCAGCGCCCGCGGCCCCGTGACCCCGTGTCTGCTTCCAGCTCATCTGGCTGGTGACCTTCGTGGCCACCATCCTGCTGAACCTGGACCTGGGCCTGGCCGTGGCCGTGGCCTTCTCGCTGCTGCTCGTGGTGGTCCGCACGCAGCGGTGAGTCCCGCCCGCCTCCCACGGGGGGGGGGGGGGGTTGAGAGCCACACGGCTCCCCCGGCTCCCCCCCATCTTGGGGTGACCCAGGCTCCTTGTTCTTCCTCACGCACCCCCTACTCGCCATCTCTCCCCAGGCCCCACTATTCTGTCCTGGGGCAGATTCCAGACACAGATGTTTACAGAGACGTGGCAGAGTACGCAGAGGTGAGGGCCGGAGGGAGGCCGGGGTGGGGCCGGGGCACAATGGGCCTTTGTGAGTCCCTTCCACGCCTGACAAGGACACGTTGGTCCCTGGAGTTTCGGGGGAGACGTTGGGATCCATGACCCCCACTCGGCGTCCGAGGGGGTAGGAAGGGCCGGAGGACCTGGGGCAGCTGGGCCTGGGCCTCGGGGTCTCAGCCAGTGGCACTAGCCCGTCCTGCAGGCGGTGCTGGGCCAGGGGTGCGAAGGCAGGTCCTGGGCACCGTCCCAGGCCGAGTGCTGGGCACGGAGATGGGGCCCGGAAGGAACCAGCCTGCCCCCGACGTGGAGCCTTGGGGGCTGAGCACATAGGACTAGGCTGCGGGAGGGAGGACGCGCCAGCAGCTCAGCCGGATGGAAAGGGCGGGGCAGGGCCGAGCCGGCCGAGACCTGGGCTGGGCTTGCGTGGTGGCCGCTGGGGAAGGTCACCGTCCGCACGCAGCTCGCAGCGGACAGACCACAGGGCCTGGGCAGGGGGCCCACGGGGAGGCCAGGGCAGGGGCCCACGGGGAGGCCTGGGCAGGGGGCCCACGGGGAGGCCAGGGCAGGGGGCCCACGGGGAGGCCTGGGCAGGGGCCCACGGGGAGGCCAGGGCAGGAGGCCCACGGGGAGGCCTGGGCAGGGGCCCACGGGGAGGCCAGGGCAGGGGGCCCACGGGGAGGCCAGGGCAGGGGGCCCACGGGGAGGCCTGGGCAGGGGCCCACGGGGAGGCCAGGGCAGGGGGCAGGAGCAGAACGAGGATCAGGGTGACACAGGCCGCAGGCTGGGCCCCCGCTGGCTGGGAGCAGAGGGTGGGGGGGGGCACTGGGGTGCATGGGGCAGGAGAGGCAGGAGAATGAGATGCTACAGGAGAGAGGGCTCAGCCGCCCCACCTGACCCTCCCCCAGGCCAGGGAGGTCCCGGGCGTGAAGGTCTTCCGTTCCTCGGCCACTGTGTACTTTGCCAACGCTGACCTCTACAGCGACGCGCTGAAGCAGAGGGTGAGGCTGGGGTCAGGGTCAGGTCAGAGGTGCCTCGCCTCCCGGGCGCCCACCCCCCTCCCGGTGCCCACACCCCTCCAGGGCGCCCACCCACCTCCCCGGGGCCACCCCCCTCCCAGGCGCCCGCACCCCAACCTTCGCCCCTAGTGCGGCCTTCGCCCCTAGTGCGGCGTGGACGTCGACCACCTCATCTCCCGGAAGAAGAAGCTGCTCCGGAAGCAGGAGCTGAAGCTGAAGCGCCTGCGGAGGAAGGCCCAGAAACAGGCCCAGAAACAGGCAGGGACCCACGACCAGCCCCGGCCCCGGCTCCTGCCTGACCCCCTCTTCCCTGACCCCTGACCCCTGACCCCTGCTCCTCGCTCCCTGCGGGGGCTGTTCCCCACCTCTGAGCCCCTGGCAGCAGAGCCCCCAGCCCTCTCCATCGGGGTGTCCCCGGGCTGGTCAGAACCCCGCCTCCCGCCCAGAGCCAGGGGCGACGCCAGGCTGCGGCCAGCTGCTGGACGGCTCTCCTGTCCCCCTGCCCGTCCCAGGCCGCTGCCTCCACGGGCACTTCTGTCCCCATCGATGTCAACACCAGCGACGGCGCCATCAAGAGCCAGGATGAGGACGGCCCCAAGGCCCAGGTGAGGTTGGGGGGTTGGGGGGAGCCACGAGCTGCAGAGATGGGGGCGGGGCGCCCCCCGCGGGGCTCCGGAGGGTCCCGGGGCGAGGCCGCAGGGTTCTGCTTGTGGCTTCCCCCCTGGTCCAGGCCCCACAGCCTGTGCTCAGGTCGAGGGGGAGGGGGAGGGTGTGTGGGGAAGACGAGGGGCCAAAGGGGACGCCCAGCTCCCTTAGAGGCGCAGGTGGGTGCTGGCGTCTGCAGGGCACAGGTGCGTGGGTGTCGGGGTCTCTCAGCCCCTGCCCCTCCGCCTGGCTGAGGGGGGGACACGGTCCCCCAGCACCTCCCTTCTCATGGGTCCCAAGTAAGCCCGCGCCCAGGAGGTAATGGGACACGCACGTCAGGGTGTGTTGTCTGAGTCGGGGTGCCCTCTCCTGTGTGTCCACCAGTGTCCCTCCTGTCTGCATACAGGAGGCTCCCCATGGCCATGTCATGTGTCCCCTGCACCCCGTGTGTGGGTGCTTCGTGCTTGTCCCACACCTGCCCCGTGTCCTTGCATGTCTGTGCGGATCCCCCCCCCTCCCCGGGGGCAGCCTTGAAGGGTGTCTGGCTCCCCAGCAGGTGAGCACGGAGCATGAACTAGCGGAGCCAGCGGCCAGCGGGCAGGAAGGTGCCCAGGCCCCAGACGGGTGCACGCTGAAGAGCCTGGGCCTGTCCCCGCCCGCCTTCCACAGCCTCGTCCTGGACCTGGGCGCCCTCTCCTTCGTGGACACCGTGTGCATCAAGAGCCTGAAGAACGTAAGGCCGGGCGCCCTTCGAAGGCCCTGACCCCTAACCGGCGCCAGGAGCCCTCTGAGCTCTGACCCCCACCCCTGAACTTCCCTCCAAACCCCCCTCCCCTCCCCCCTGAACCTGGCCCCCTTTTCCGCTACAGATTTTCCGTGACTTCCGGGAGATCGAGGTGGAGGTGTACATGGCCGGCTGCCAAGGTGCGTGGGGGGGGACCTTGAGTGGTTTGGGAAGAGGGCGGGGCTTCAGGAAGGAGCCTTCCCTGGAGCTGGACTCCTGGAAGGCGGGGTCAAGGGTCATGCGTGAGGCAGGCTGACCTGCAGCCTGGGCGGAGCGGTGGCGGCTCTGGGAGTCAGGAGAGCCCGCCCTCGCCCGCAGCCCCCGTGGTCGCCCAGCTGGAGGCCGGGCACTTCTTCGACTCGTCCATCACGAAGCAGCACCTCTTCGCCTCCGTCCACGACGCCGTCCTCTTCGCCCTCCAGCACCCGCGGTCCGGCCCCGTCAGCCCTGTTCTGGTGAGCCGGGCCCTGGCCGCTGAGCCCGCTTACTGCTCGTCCCCACCCTGACCCAGCTCCCGGGTCCCCGAGGACCCCCGCCCCCGCTCCCCCTCCCTCCTGCCTGGAGATGGAGCTGGCGGCGGGGCAGGTCCGGGAGGCGGTGTGTGCCCCGGGTAACTGACGGCGCTCCCCTCCGCTGCCCGCTCAGGTCACCAAGCTCTGACCTCGCTGCCACCTGCGGAGACGGCCGCCTCTGGGCTGCGCGGGGCTGAGCACCCCCATCCGCTCCGGATGTCACTCGGGAGTCCCCTCCGCACACACACACACGACTCAGGGATGGAGGGCCCGACTCCACACACACTGCCGTCGCCTGGGCTGGGCCCTGGCCAGGTTGGGGGTGGGCATGAGTGTTTTCAGCTTCAGGAATAAAGACTCATTTGCCCAACACCCGGCTCTGCTGTGACTGGTGGGCACCAGGGGGCCGCGGCCCTGGCCCCTGACTCTTGTTATGCCCCAAAGTGGGAACTGGCGTTAAATGTCGGGAGCCAGGGTGCAGAAGGCGGGCCAGGCCCAGGGCGGGGCACCCAGGCTCCTGTTTTCCCAGCCACACAGCCCTGGCGCTGGGCCTCCCTGGTGCAGTCGCTGGGCCTCCCTGGTGCAGTCGCTGGGACCAGCTGCCTCAGGAAGGGCCTGTCCTCGGGGTCCCCCTGTAGGGTCGGGCAGGGCAGGCCTCCGGGCAGCCGGGGAGGGAGGGTGTCTGAGCAACCGGCGGAAGCGCCCGCGCTCACAGGTGCGGCTGGTCCCACTTAGAGGTAAGAGTGCGGGTGACTGATTTGCTTGGGAAAATGCCGCTGTTAGAGGTCACCTGGGCTCTGCAGGTCAAGGTCAGCCAATCTCCGCCTAAAACGCCAACATCTGCCCCGGATGGTATGCTCAGTGGGTAGAGCGTCGGACTGGGGACTGAAAGGTCCCGGGTTCGATTTCGGTCAGGGGCACAGGCCCGGGTTGCAGGCTCGATCCCCAGTAGGGGGCGTGCAGGAGGCAGCCGATACATGATTGTCTCATCATTGATGTTTCTCTCTTTCTCTCCCTCTCCCTTCCTCTCTGAGACCAATAAAAGCAGTTAAAATAAAATAAAACGCCGCCATCTGGGCTTATGGCCGGTGGGCAGCAGTAGGCTTTCTGCCAGCGACGCTCAATTGGGGGTGGGAGGCCCTGGAGCCCTGGGCCTCGGTGGGGGACGTTCCAGCACCCGCTCCTGGGTGCCTCCTGGTTACTCACGGAGACAGGAAATGCCCGAAGTGCTTGCAGCTGGGCCCCGTCCCAGCCGCTGAGTCACCTTGACCAGCTCTGCTTCCCGCTCCCCCAGGCCCAGGACGTGGGCTGTCTGTCTGCTCTGCCAGCCGCGTCCTGGCTCCGGGACTGCCTGGCGCATGGCAGTGCCTGGTAAATATTGGCCGAGTGGAGCTTACATGCCCCGTGAAAGGCAGGCCTGCGGGGGAGCTCGAGGCTCCACAGAAACGCTGGGAAGGAAGTAAAGGGTCACCGGAGGGCAGAGTGCCTGCTGCCCGGACGGCCAGGGAGGTCTGACAGGTCACATGTGAACGGGAACCAGCTGCCCTCGAGGAGTGAAGGGCAGTGCGCTCAGGAGCGGGGGTGGGAGGGGGGGCGGAGCACTCAGACCTGGGGGGGCTTGGGCCTTACTCTGAGGGAGGGGCCACGTCTGTCTTTTTAAATATGTTTATTGATTCCAGAGAGGGAGAGAGAGGAACATCAGTGATGAGGGGGAATCACCAATCAGCTGCCACCTGCGCACCGCACACTGGAGATGGAGTCTGAAACCTGGGCGTGTGCCCCAACCAGGAACTGAACCCTGACCTCTTGGTTCATAGGTCGAAGCTCAAACACTGAGCGCCCCCCCCCCCCCCCCCCCCCCCGCCCACAGGCCCCACCCTTGAGCACTCACTCCGCTGCTGCAGGCGGGGCAGGCGGGGCAGCCTTAGAGTTTTAGGGGGTGAGTGTGAGGTGTGGAGCAGGGAGGGCAAAGGAGCCCGTCCCTCCGTCCTGGGCCCCAGGCCCACCGCCCGCCCCCTCCCGGCCTGGCACTGCCCCGCCCCCAGCCCCCACTGGAACCCGCTGCCTCCCCAGGCCTGCGCGGGGGAGGGGTGTTTGGCCCGTCGCCAGGCGCCCAGGCCCCGGGTTCCGGGTTGGGTTCCGCTGGCACTCGCTGTCGCCATGCAGTACACGCCGGCCTTCCTGCTCTTGCTCCTCCTCCTGGCCATGTCTGCTCCCTCCCAGGCCTGGTCTCGGCCCCTGTGGTACCAGGTGGGGCTGGACTTGCAGCCCTGGGGGTGCCAGCCAAGCAGCCTGGACGGCTGCGGGGTCAGCCTGGGCTGTCCCGGCCAATGGCTGGGCCTGGGGATGAACCCCATCTACTCGGTGACGGGGGTCATGCTCACCAGCGCCATGATGCTGATGGTGGGCCGAAAGGTGCTGCAGCGGCGGTGCCCGCAGGGCGCCAGGAGCGAGGTGAGAGCCTGCTGGTCCCCCAGCCTCCTCCCTGGACCGACACCCAGTGAACCCGTCCTCCCTCCACCCGCCCCGCCGCCCACCAGCCTCCTGCCCACATCTGCGGGGCCCCTGCTGCCCCCCTACACCCCACGGTCCGTACATATGTCCACACCCATTGATCCCTGACCGTGCCCCAGAGCCAGGACCCTGCCCCTCCGTCTCTTTTCAATGCCTAGTCCTCATCCAGCCCCCAGGGGCCCCATGGCCACTCCCGCCCACAGACCCTCCATCACCCAGCTCCCCCCTCACCAGCCCATCGCCCCAGCCCCATGGGGGCCCCGCGTCGCGCCCCTGTCCACCCCTCTGCTCTCACGCTGCCTCTCGGTCCTACTCAGCTCCTGCAGGTGCCCGCTCACACCCCTGGACTCGGTAAGCGGCGGACCCCCATCTCCGACCATGCCCTTCTGGTCACGGTCCTGCACATGTTGGACGCCCTCCTGGCCCAAATCCAGGGCCACCTGCAGCATCTGGCCGCGCAGCAGCCCCGGCCAATAAAGGGCACTCCCACCCCGTGTGGGTGATGAACACGCCTCCGTGGTGGGCCCTGGGGGGGAGGGGGGCCGAGGCGCTGGGCCCGGCTGGGACTGTGTGTCTGTCTCCCTGGTCCCCTCCTATGTGTTGAACCAGCAGCTGACTCACTGCTCCACTGCCCCCCCCCACTGACCCCGCCTCCCTAAGGGTGTCACCCAGAAATACAGCTGCTATTCTGGGGCTCCCCGGAGGCGCCCAGGGGGGGGGGAGGAGACTTGACCATCGGGTCAGACTTGGGTGGTCCAGGGAGGGAGGCCCAGAGGTGATGACCAGCCAGGGCTGCTAGTGGGGCTTCGGCTTCGGGCCTGAGCTGGGGCGGGAGGGGAGGGGAGCCCCGGCTGCCTCCCCCTCGGTGGTGTCTCCAACCTGTGCTCTGGCACCTGAGGGGCCCAAGGGGACCCTCACCCCTTCCTCGCTCCCTCCTGCCGCAGGCAGCCCGGCATGCGGCCACCGAGCCTGTGCACTCTTAGGGTCTCTGTTTTAGAAACAGCATGGCGTTACGAATTCAAAACTAGAAGCAAGTGCGCCGGGAGGACGAGGAAAGAAACGACAAACGTTACAGCGTCGGTGAAACTGCAGCGCGAGGCCCAGGACCAGAGCACGTCTGGGTCCCCCGACGTTTCTGTAACGCCCCCCGCCCCCCGTCCGCTGCTCGCTCTGCTGGCCTCTGCAGGAGGGTTTCCACACGGAGGCGGAGGGCGGCGCCGTCCTAACGCCGCGTGAGGTCTGGGTCTCGGTTACTGGTGTTAGGAAACGCCTCTCCCCGCGTGCTGTGGGTGCGGTCACACCCATGGCCTGGGCTGTTGGCAAATCGGAGAAACTTCCAGCAACGCTTCTCATAAGAGACGCTGTGTGAGCTGGAATAATTGTCCACAGACTCCTCCTCGGCCCACAGTTCCTAGCCTTGGGCGCTGGGGCAGGTTCTAAATGGAGGACCTTGGCCTCCGTCCTGGGCCCAGGGGGGGGCCTAGAGGCCATCCCCGGGACAGGCAGGGACAATGAGCTGAGACACAGGCACGGAGCAAACATCATGTTCCTCTAAACCCAAACCAGTGCCTCCCTGTGGTAGACGTGCTGCCCCCCAGCCGCCCAGAGCCTCATCACAGCGGGACTCCCCGATGCCCAAGCACTCCCCAGAAACATCCTCAGCTCCCCCTTAGAGTGCGCTTCCCAGAGAACCCAACCAGCGACAGTTCCCCATTCACCTTCCTCTTGGCTGCACCCCCAAATGTCACAGCCCCTCCAGTGTCACCTGCACAAGGGGAAGCAGGGTGGAGGGGTGTCCCAGTGGGAGAGGACAGAGGGCCTGACTGGGTGCGGTTGGACTCTCTTAATTTCGTGCGTTTTCAAAAATGACTTGATCCTACGGACGCACTCCTGGGGGTTCTTCACAGGCCGGGGCGTACGTAAAGGGCACTGGAGGCTGAGCGCGTCATCAGCCTGCTGTTAGGTCCACGTCTACACTCCGCGAGGTTTACCGCGCACCTACTGCGTGCCAGCCTGCTGGCTGATGTGCAGAACACTGCGGGCCCCTCCTCGCCCAGCCACAAACGGGAGGGTGGCGATAGTGGTGGGACAGACTCAAAAAGGCAAAATTACTCTGCAGAGGCGGCTGGCCCTGAATCGGCGATGAGGAGGAGTGCTCCTGTCGGAAAGAGCAGCACTTGAGGGCCTGGTCGGGGACCATAGGGTGGTCAGGACTTTAGGAGACAGGAGGGGCTCTGGGGGGCAGGTGGGGGCAGGGAGGGGTGGCAGCCAGAATCATAGCCCCTCAAGGTACCCGGGGGGTCAGCACATATGATACAATTCTTGGCAAAAAGAACTTTATAGGCAGAACTAGGATTAAAGACCCTAAGCCCCGGCTGGTGTGGCTCAGTTGGTTGGTATCGCCCATCCCATGCACATGCCCAGGTTGCAGGCTCAATTGCATGTCAATGTTTCTTTTTTTTTTTTAAATATTTTATTGATTTTTTACAGAGAGGAAGGGAGAGAGACAGAGAGCCAGAAACATCGATGAGAGAGAAACATCGATCAGCTGCCTCCCGCACATCTCCCACTGGGGATGTGCCCGCAACCCAGGCACATGCCCCCAACCGGAATCGAACCCGGGACCCCTCAGTCCGCAGGCCGACGCTCTATCCACTGAGCCAAACCGGTTTCGGCGCATGTCAATGTTTCTTGCTCTCTCTCCCTTTCCCATACTTTCTCTAAAAATCAATAAAAATATTTTTTTAAAGAAGATTAGCCCTGGCTGGTTCTGCTCAGTGGATAGAGCGTCGGTCTGCGGACTGAAGGGTCCCAGGTTCGATTCCGCTCACGGGCACATGCCTGGGTTGCAGGCTCCATCCCCAGTGGGGGCGTGCAGGAGGCAGCCCATCAGTGACTCTCATCATTGATGTTTCTCCCTCTCCCTTCCTCTCTGAAATCAATAAAAATGTATTTTTTTAAAAAAAGATTAAAGATGTTACAGTAGGGAGATCACTCTGGGTTGTTTTGGTGGCCCAGGCACCCACATGAGTCCTTCCAAGCAGAAGGGAAGCTCGGCCTCTGCCACTGGCTTCCGAGATGGGGAGCGGGTCCCCACCGTCCAGGGGGCCCTGGGTCAGGGGCCGCGAGGGCTGGGCATGCCTGCAGGTGGCAGCCTGCAAGGAACCAGCCGCAGCCCCACAACCACTGGGTCTGAACGCTGTCACCGGCCTGATGGCCAAGGACGCTTGCGCCAGTGGCATCCGTGTTGGACTTCGGGCCTCGTGAGCTGAGACGGTAAACGTGTGTGATTCTCAGCCACCGGTCTGGTGGTTTGTGACGGCAGCGACAGACACACGGTGTTCAACCCAGAGGCCGGCGCTCGAACCCTCTTCGCAGCTGGGCAGGAGCGCAGGCCGAGAGGAGGGAGCATCACGGACAGACGACATGGCCTCTGTGGGTTCAGGGGGCCCCCCTCGGGGTGCCCCGCGGCCTGGGCTCAGCCGCTCACCCACTTCCTCATTCTGTCTCGGCACCTCTCGAGCCGCGGCGTCTCTGACTCATGTTTCTGGGGTTCCAGGCAGCGGAAATGGAACCTGGTTTTCTCTTGCTCATCTGCTTCCCGTGGACTCGGCCAAATTCTCAGGGGGGGGGGACGGGGGTCTGGGGGGTAGAATTTCCCCTCCCCACACCTTCCACCCCCTGCGGGCGGGAGCCGGGCTTCAAGGATGCTGCCAGCGGTCCTGGCCCCGGCGGCTCGGGTGGTGGGAGCACCATCCCGTCGGTTGTGGGTTCGAGTCTGCGTCAGGGCGCGGACCCAGGTTGCAGGGACACGTAAGGGAGGCAACCGATCGATGCCTCTTTCTCTCCTTTCCTCTCTCTTAAGTCAATGAAAAACATCCTCGGGTGAGGACTTAAACATAAAAATAAGCCCTAACCGGCTTGGCTCAGTGGATGGAGCGCCGGCCTGCGGACTGAAAGGTCCCGGGTTCGATTCCGGTCAGGGGCATGGACCTGGGCTGCGGGCACATCCCCAGTGGGGGGCGTGCAGGAGGCGCTGATCGATGCTTCTCTCTCATCGATGTTTCTGACTATCCCTCTCCCTTCCTCTCTGTAAAAAATCAATAAAATATATTAAAAAAGTAAAATTGAAATAAGATAAAAAGGATGCTGCCAGTCAGGCCTGGGAGGAGACGGGAGCGGCGACGGGAGCCGATGGGAAGGGCGCGTGCGAGTTGCTTTCCAAACAGGAATCCTTTGCACAAACCATCGCGGCCGCCCCTTTTCCTGAGCGACCAACACTCGGTCAAATCCTCCCCGCGCCGCGGCCGCTTCATTCTTTTACAAAGAAACAAACCCTGGCTCCCAGCCGCGCCTCGCCTCTTCGCGCCGGGCCGCCACGCCGGGCCCAGCCCCCCGGGCTCGCGGCGGCCGGGGCGGCCGGGCCGGCGGGTGAATCCGCGGCTTCCGCCAGGGGGCGGCCGCGCGCCGGGTGGCGGGACTGCGCCTGCGCCTCGGGCCGCCGCGTCGCTCTGCGCATGCGCGGCGCGGGCGGGCCGACGGGACTGGAAGATGGCGGCGTCCGCGGTCTGCCGGGCGGCCGGCGCTGGGGCTCGAGTGCTGCTGCGCGCCCGCCGATCGGTGAGGGGGCGGCGGGGGCGCGGGACTGGCGCGCGGGGCTCCGGGACGCGGACGGGGGGCGGGCTGCTAGGGCGGCGCGTGGGGATCGGGGAGGTCGCGGGGTCAGGGCCGTGGGAAGGTCACGGCCCAGGGCGGGGATGGGATGGGGATGGCGGCCTCGCGGCTGCCGCGGGGCGGGGACGGGGACCCCCTGCGGGTCGGGCAGCCGAGGAGCGAGGCCCGGACCCAGCCTCGGCCCCGCCGCCCGCTTGCAGCCCGCGGCCCTGCTGCAGCCGCCCGCCCTGCGGAGCACGGCCACCTTCGCGCAGGCCCTGCAGCGCGTGCCCGAGACGCAGGTGAGCCAGCTGGACAACGGCCTGCGCGTGGCCTCGGAGCAGACCTCGCAGCCCACCTGCACGGTGAGTGCCCGCGGCCGGGGCGGGGCCTTCCCGTGTGTGTGGGGGGGTGACCTTGGGCTCAGGCCTCTCGGCTTGGGTCCCGACTGCAGCCCCCCCTGCCCTCGGGGGCGGGGGCAGCCCCCTCCCAACACGCATTTCGTAGGTGACGCCTGCCACGCAGGAGGCCAAGCCTCCCCAGCAGCTCCAGAAGCCACAGCCCCAGGGGGACAGTGAGGACAGTGGGGTTCGGGACGTCAGGCCATAACCTCCCGGCAGACGGGGAGTGCATTGCACGCGAAAGGCGTGTGGGATTCTAGCGAAATGGATGGTTCTCCACAAAAACAAAGCCTCGCATTTGACTCAAGGGTAGAAATCTTGCCGGGATGCAGGCGTCGGCGGGGATTTCTCAGGAAGGAGTCCTGCCTCTCCCCACCCCAAACTCAGGGCGCAGAGGTTTTATTGGCAAAACCTTTCGGTTCAGGAACAGTTGATGCCCCGTGTGATGTTGGTACAAGACAAAGGGCAAGGGCAACTTCCTTATCACAGGCACCTGCGCCAGCCAGCCAGCCAGCGCCTGGGAGGCCAGCAGAGACGGCTGTCCCAGG